GTTTTAGATATAGTTGACTTCAGTTATCCAGAAAATCCCTCTCCCAAGCCAGATAAGTGAGGTGTCATACGATGGGCTTGCTTCCTCAAATGGAGGGGTGTGGTGCGGGCTCTCAACACTGATTGCCCCATGGCCCTCAGTGCCTATTGCCAATCCCCAGGACCAATGCCTATGAGGTAAATTGTCCAAGGATAGAGACTTCTTCCCTTTTCCCCAGTGCCTGGACCAGTGCCTGGCATCTAGTGTGCACAAAGTAAATGTGAGATGAGTGAAGGAATGCACAAAGAATGATGTCCTTCTGTCATGTAACAGAGGGGTGCAGGGCAGAGCAATCTGGGCAAAATCCTTTGCCCTTTGCCCTCTGCCCTGCCCTATCCTGGCCTAGCTACCCATTTGGCCCCACCTGCAACCACTATAGGCGGCCACCTGGCCCTGGAGGCAGCCTCAGCCCAGCTTCCACTTTCCCAGCCATCCGCTGGGAGTATCAGCAGCCCCCAGCAGATGGTGACATTCAGAGCAGCCAACGTGAATGCACACGGGAGGTATTTAGTCAGCTCACCTGCTTGCCTTCCATTCCCTTCTTTCTCTCATCACCTTCTGGAAGAGTAAAAAAGATCAAGCCAAAGCAGAGGAGCCACCTGATCAAGTCATCCATGCCCCTGCCTCCATTCCAGCCCGACCTAACTCCACTCCCATGTCTGGGCCAGGCTGGACCCCGCCAGGCCAGACTCAGGGAGGTAGCCATCCGAGGGGAGAGAGGCCAGGCTGCAGGCCTGGTGGGGGAGCTGCCCATAAATCAGGCCCCACTCCCACCCAGTCACTAACAAGCGGGGCTGCCTAACCGCCTACATGGGGTCCCTGCCTCTGGGCTCCCACAGCGGCCTGGAACAGCCAGCTGGCCAAGGCCTCCAGAGTGCCTTGGCCTCCACCCCCACCGAGGCCCCCAGATAGATAGGGGTATTTTTTTTTTTCTTTTAGGAGAAGAAAAAAATAGACCTAAATGAAGAGAAACACCAACAAAGAAGGAGAGAGGCCTGCAGAGTCACGTGGGGGCAGAGACCAATTGGGCCTCCGGTGGCCGCCCCCCCCAGGGCGGGGAGGAGGAGGACGGCCGGACAGGGCCAGCCTACTGTCCGCCTGCCGCCCGCCGTGGCGTGAAGGAGCTCCTGTGTGCCCACGGTCACCACTGCCCCACCTGGGCTGCCGGAGCTTTCCCCCGGATCCCTGGTGCCCACTGTCCACCCTCATCCGGCGTGAGAGCTCTCCTTCCGCTCCGTAAGTGAGGGCCCGGGCCCAGGCCTCTAATGGCCAGCCTCCCTCCTCAGTGCCTCCCTGCGGCCTGGGCCGGCCGCTGCCCGCTCTGAGTGACTAGTGCCCGCTGCTCTGGGCAGGGAGGGGGCCAGCGATTGCCCCCGACCTGCCCTCTCATCATGCTACCCCCTCTTCCCTGGACAGCTGACTGGGAGGAGCTAGGCCTCTGGGGACAGGCCCCATGGGTTCTGCAGTGTCCTGCTGTCTATGGGCGGCCAAGTGTTCGCAGGACTGTGTTGGCCCAAGCCTAGCAGTCTGTGAATGTGTCCATGGTCCCTGGGCCCGTCTTTGGGGCCTCTCAGGCTCCCCGCCTGTGTGTCTGTGTTGTCTCCACGGATTTGTAGGGATTTGTATGGGTTTGTGTGTCTGTCCCTGATGTCCTTCTGTCAGTCCTCATTCTGTGGCTGGTGCAGATCGATGTTTGCTTCCCTGGGCATGTGGGTGGGGGTGGGTGCAATGGAGCCTGGGTCAGCCTCAGAGCTCCCAACCTGGGATAGTGTAGCCTCTGGAGAAGGAGGGGGTAAGATGGAAGTGGGGGGGATCCGGCTCTGAGCTCAGCCCCCCTAGACCACCTGGAGTCCCAGCCACACTCCTGCTTACATTGCCTGAGTCTTCCTCAACGGTGTCTGGTACACTCCAGCCCTCCTCCTCCAGCCCCTTCACGCCCCTGCAGAGGTGGTGCTGCTCCTGTTTCCCACCTTCTGAGGGCCCCTCCCAGGTGGAGAGCTGTTCAGAAGAAGCACTAGTCCCCCACCTCCAGCTCCTGCAAAGGCTAGTGTTTCTGAGGGCTGGGATGTTGGGAGTCCTCCGCTAAACTGGACTCGGCTCTCTCTCCTTTCTCACCAAAATTCGTCCACAGCATCTCACGGAAACTGCAGACTCCCTTCGGTAGGGCTGAGCTTTTCCATTTTACGTGCAGACAAACTGAGGCGCAGAGAAGGGACGCGACCTGGCCGCGCCGGCCCAGCAAGCCGGCTGCCTCTTCCATTCTTTTGTCCCGCTGGGCGTGAGATCGCAGGAAGGGTCTGCGCGGGGTCTCCAGCCTCGGCAGGCAGGAGCGAGGTGCCAACACAAGCCGGGGGGCGGGGGAGGCTCCGGTCGGGGGCCCAGGCCAAGTCCAGAGCCTTCAGATCGGTAGCGGCAGCGTCGCCGCGGGTGCCTAACTGCGGTCCCCCACCCCCACCCCACGGTGAAGATTCTGGCTCTTTGGCCTCGTTGGTCTCAGTACTGTTCTTCGCGGAGGGGCGGGGGCGAGACGAGAGCAGGCCCTTTTCTCCCGTCTCAATTTTTTCACCTGAAAAGTGAGAGTGACCAGGTACAGTCTCCCCACCCAGAGCAATTGCTGGGCCTGGCCCAGCCGGGGGTCCCCTTTGTCCCGGGGATGCCGGACTCTCCCTTCCCCTCCCCCAGCCCGGGTAAGAGCTCAGCACGTGATGGGGGGGAGGGGTTCCTCTGGTCTCCTAGCTCCCGCGCCCTTGAGGGCTTCAGGTCCTCGCCCAACCTCGGAGGATTCCCATTTCCGGCCAAGCAAACTGAGGCCTGTGGTGGAGGAAGGGTTTGGCCCAGGTCTCCCAGCTGGGTACTACTGATCGCTTTGGCAGTGCTAAGGCATGGGTTTTGCCAACACCACTTCGGTTCATTCGCATGCCCGTTCCCAGGGAAGTCCATCCATCATGACCACTTCGCAGATAAGCAAACTGAGGATCAGTGCGTGTGTGCGTGCGTGCGTGTGTGGTGTGTGGTGTGTGTGTGTACGTTTGCTTAAGTCTTCAGTGAGGAAATACGGCAGGGCCGATGGCGAACCTGGTTTCTAGCCTTGAACCCGTGCCTTGGCCATGGACCCCCACGTTCGCCCTCACCCACTTCCACGCTGCAAAACGACCAGCGCCCCCGGCGTGGCCCTTGCCACGACCAAGCTGGATTAGCAAACAGGGGCTCGCCTCCTGGGTGGCTCGAGGCCCCCAGGCGCCCGGCTCCTGCCCAGATTCCGAGGCGCTCGGGCTGGGGATGGGGGGCCGGGAGGGTGAGGGTAAAGGCGCGAGGCAGGCTCGGTGGCGGGGGAGGGCGCGGGCCGGCCTCCGCCCCCGGATACCGCACGCGCTGATATAGGGGGGCCGGCTCCTGGCCCCTGCGAGGCGGGTCCGCGCAGCGCGCATTGGCGGCGGAGGGGCCCGGGTCCCAGGTGCGCCTCGGCGCGGCCCTGGAGGCGGCCAGGGGTGGGGAGGCTGGGGGGGGCTCCGAGGCCCCGCGCCCCCGCCTCCCCGCCCCCGGCCCGATCGGCCGTCATCGCGGGCAGGCGGCGCTGCGCCCGGGTGCGGCTCATCGGCGGCGGCGGCGCGGCCGGGAGGTGCGGGGCTCGGCGCGGGGGGACGCGGGGCGCTGCCGCTCGCAGGAGCCGCCAGGTGGGCGCCGGGCGGGCCGCGGCCGCCGTCGCGCCCCTTCTCGCTTCCCGGGCCCCGGCTCTGCGCGCTTCCCTCCGCGGGACTTGGACTCTCCGCCCGAGGTCGCTCCCCCGCCCGGGCGCGGCCCCCGGCGCCCGGCCCCCGCGGGGTCTCCGCCCGAGGTCTCTGCGGCTGCACGCCCGCGTCTCCGCCGCGCCCCCGCCGCCCGACGTCTGGGTGTCGGTGGCACCGGCCGCGCCTCTCGGTGCCGTCGCTGCGGCGGCTTTGTCTCTCCCGGCCCGGGGCCCCGGCGGCTGGGCGCGTTCGGGCTCCCGGCCCCGGGCGCTGCGGCTGTGCGCGTCTGGCGGCGCGAGTCCCCGGCGGGGTCCGGGCGTGCGGGGCCACGCCTCGGAGCTCGGGCGCCGCGTCCGGCTGCTCTCCGCGCGTCCTGGGCGCCGGCCCGGCTGGGCGCCTCCGCCGCTCCAGGTTTTCCCCGGCGTCTCGGTGTCCCCCTCCCCGCCCGCCTGCGTCCCTCCCGGTGTCTCGCGCCTCCCGTCCGCCGCTGTGTCTGGCTCCGCGTCTGCCCCCCCAGCTTCCCTCTGGGGCCCCCGTCCCCCCGTGCCCCTCGGCGGTCCCTCTTTCGTTCTCCGTCCCCCCTGGCCTCTCTGTCCGTCTCGTGTCCCCCGGGTTTCCCCTGCCCGGCAGCGAGGTGTCTCCGTCAGTCTCGGGGTTTCGTTGTCTCCGCCGCCCCGGGACTCGCTCCGCGAGGCAGCGTCGTCGGCGTCTCTGGCCGCCGCCCGCCCACCTCTGCGGCCCCCCGGACGCCGCCTCTGCCTCCCTCGGCGCTGCCCGATCCCCCAGAGCCCGCAAGGCCCCGCAAGGCCCCGCTCCGGCCCCGCTCCGGCCCCGCTCCGGCCGGGTGCGCCGGGATCTGCCCGCAGCCGAGCCGTTTTCTCAGAACCGGGGTTTTGTCGTCAGACGAACGAATCCGGGCCCGAGCGCCCAGAGCCCGAGGGCCCCGGATCCCGCGCGCCGCAGACCGCCCCGGAGGAGCCTCGGGGAGGGGGCGCGCGGCGCGGGGCGCGGGGCGCGGGGCGGGAGGCCGAGGCGCGGGTGCTGCACCCGCCGCCCCCCGGGCGGGCTGCTCAGGGCGCCGCAATGGGTGCCCGGCCCCCGGCGGCCTCGACCAGGGCGCGGCGATGGGGGCAGCGCCGTGGGGGCGCCCCCCGCGCCCCCCATCTGCCGCGCTGCCCGCGGCGTCCCGCCCGCGCTGCCCGTCTCCTCCCTCCGCAGGCGGACGCCGCGGGCATGGACTATTCGTACGACGAGGACCTGGATGAGCTGTGCCCCGTGTGCGGGGACAAGGTGTCGGGCTACCACTACGGGCTGCTCACATGCGAGAGCTGCAAGGTGAGCGGGCGGCGGCGTGGCGCAGGGCCGGCGCCCGGAGCGGGGGCGCGCGGCGGGGCAAGCCCTGCGGGGCCGCACGGACAGGCTCGGGCGGGGCGCGGCGGGGGCCGGGGCGGGGGCCGGGGCGGGGGCCGGGCGGGCGCCTGGGGCCCGGGGCCCACCTCTGGCGCTCACTCCGCTCTCCCCCTCAGGGCTTCTTCAAGCGCACGGTGCAGAACAACAAGCACTACACGTGCACGGAGAGCCAGAGCTGCAAGATCGACAAGACGCAGCGCAAGCGCTGTCCCTTCTGCCGCTTCCAGAAGTGCCTGACAGTGGGGATGCGCCTGGAAGGTGCGCGCGGCGCTGCAGCCTCCGACCGCTGACCTCTGACGGCGGGGACAGGGGTCGCGGGTGGGAGACAGAGTGAGAGCTGGGTGCCCATGGCCCTCCTACGGTTTCTGGAGCCCGCGGTGGGCTCCTCCTGTGACGTTAGGGCCGGATCTCCGCAGGGCAGGGCTGAGAAGTGGCTCCGTCTGGTGAGGGTCCAGAAGCACCTGAAAGGGAATCCTGGGGAGATGACCCTCTCTCCGCACACCTCCTTCTGCAAGGAGACTCACAGCACCCCCACTGACACCCAACAGCAGCTGGAGCCAAGGGGTTTAGTGCCTTTACCAGAGTTCAAGTCCCAGTGCCACCACTCCCAGGCTGATTGACACTGGGTAATCTCCTTAAAGTCTCTGAGCTGTAGATTCCCCACCTGAAAAGTAGACCAGTCAGTGTGAGGGAATTGTACAGAACGCTAGCACAGAGGAAATGCTATCATCATCATCATCATCATCATCATCATCATCATCATCATCATCATCATGTTATTATGTGTCCATCATCACAGCCTTCACTCATCCAGCCCGCCTGTCCATAAATTTCACTCAGGTCGTTCATTCTGTGGGTGAGAGTCCTTCTTGGGAGGGTGCTGGGAGGGTGAGGGAAGGCAGAACAATTGGTTCCAGAGGACCCAAGCCCATCCTTGCCTCCCCACCCCCATCCTCCCACCTCTCAGTCCAGAGGGGAGGAAAAACGTTTCAGCAGGAAAAACTCAAACTTGCCGAGGGTGGACAGTCTCAGGCTTCCACCCTGCCGGCCACAGCCGGGCTGTGCGCAGAGCAGGCAGCTGTTGGCTAAAGTTTTTAAACAATGTAGAAAGCCCCTGGTGGCTCTGAGAGCTGCTGACCACAAGTCCTGCCACCTAGAGGAGGGACTCCTAGACAACGGGGGAAATGTCCCGATGTCCCCAGCTCCAGGTCCTTTTGGATCAGAAGACGGTTGTTGAAGGTAGCAGAGCCACCCTGCTGGAGCCTGACAGCAGAGCTGGGCTGTTCACCCCTGTGGCAGGAAGATTGGCCGATCCTAAGACACCTCCCTGCTAGGCACCACCCTCTCCCTCCTACTCTCTCCCTTCTCTTCGAGCTCAGGGTGGGGTCCTGTCTGAGCAAGGGCTAGGGCCACACTGCAGCTGCAGAGATGCACCTGTTGGGTCCAATTGGTGACACATCCTTGGCCAGGTGGAGGGACATCTGGTCAGCCAGGGAGTTCCCTTCTCCCGGCATAGAACCCTGACCAGCTCTAAATTCAGTGTCACATTTGAAGGCCCTGGAGGAAGCCGGAGTCATCTTGTAGTAGGGGTTCAGCAGAGCCGGGTAGTCGGTAACGAAGCAGCTGGACACTGGGGAGTGAACTTGGTGCTATGAATAAGGCTGACAAGGACCTTCTTCCTGTCACCATCTCCCTGCTCAGCCTTGTACACGGCACCTGAACCCATTGCTGAATCCCCAGAAACTCTCAGCCTGGGTCACATGGCATGATTCCACTCAGCAGGACGACAGTGGACAAGAGGCAGGACGTCTGGGGCAAGGACAGTGGGTTCTGCCCAGATGAATCTAGGAACACTTCTGGGGGTGGTGACCCTAGGGCTGGGTGTTTGGCAAGCATGAGAAAAAGAAAGGGTTTGAGGCAGAAGGAATAACAAAGGCAGGTTGGAGGAAGAAGAAAACGTGCCAAATGGAGGAACAAACAGCTAAGGGGGAGTGGAAAGAACATGGGGTCTTGTAAAGGGTGACCTGGGAGTGCCAGGCTAAGGAGATTGACTTCATCCGTGGGCAGTGGGAGCCATGAAGAGGTATTGAACGGGGGAGGCGACACCGTTTGGGATAGGTCTGTGAGTGTGGCGTTATGGTGCAGCTGACCCTCTGCTTCTGCCCACAGCTGTGCGTGCTGACCGCATGCGGGGTGGCCGGAACAAATTTGGGCCCATGTACAAACGGGACCGTGCCCTGAAGCAGCAGAAGAAGGCACAGATTCGAGCCAATGGCTTCAAGCTGGAGACGGGTCCTCCGATGGGGGTGCCTCCCCCACCGCCTCCCCCGCCGGACTACATGCTGCCCCCTGGCCTGCATGCGTCTGAGCCCAAGGGCCTGGCCTCTGGTCCACCTGCTGGGCCGCTGGGCGACTTTGGAGCTCCAGCATTGCCCATGGCTGTGCCCAGCGCCCACGGGCCACTGGCCGGTTACCTCTATCCCACCTTCCCTGGCCGTGCCATCAAGTCTGAGTACCCAGAGCCCTATGCCAGTCCCCCGCAGCCGGGGCCGCCCTATGGCTACCCAGAGCCCTTCTCCGGAGGGCCGGGCGTGCCCGAGCTCATCCTGCAGCTGCTGCAGCTGGAGCCAGATGAGGACCAGGTGCGGGCACGCATTGTGGGCTGTCTGCAGGAACCAGCCAAAGGCCGCCCTGACCAGCCTGCACCTTTCAGCCTCCTGTGCCGGATGGCTGACCAGACCTTCATCTCCATCGTGGACTGGGCACGCAGGTGCATGGTCTTCAAAGAGCTAGAGGTGAGTCCCTCCTTCCACCTGGCTGGCTGCTGGGGCTGGGGTGTTCTCTTGGCTCCCAACCCTCTGTCCCAGGGGCTGTCCTGCTCCCCTGCCCTGGCCTCAGGTAGTATGGGGGCACGGGTGGGGGGGCACACTGGGAGACACCAAGAGGTGTTTCTGGTCCATCACAGCCATCCTTGCTCCTTCCCCCTCTCCCTCCCCTCTCCTGCTCTCTTTCCTTCTGTTTCTTGAGTCTGTATTTGTCACAGACTCAGCTTCTTTTATCTCTACCTCTCTCTCTTGTTGTCTTTTTCTCCCTGGTATGCTGTCTCTCTGCATCTCTGTTTCTCTAGCCCTTTTGCTCTCTGTTCGTTTCTCACCTGGTTAGGGTCTTTGCAGGCATTTCTCTCACTTCCCCTGAGACCCTGAGCTCCCCTGAATGACTAGCTGAGTCCTTTGGAAGCTGCCTCTGGCTGCCCCAGCCCAGTGTCAAGAAGAGGACACAACCAATCCGATCCTGTCTTCGCATTTGGAGAGGCCAAGAATTCCTGCCAGCCTCAGATGTCCTGGTGGGCGGGGAGTATCTTCGTATCTCAGAGTTTGGAATGCTTGTGGCCGTTTTCCTCCCCACCTACGGGGAAAGGTCTTGCTGTCTCTCTACATCTCTTGTGCTTGATGGTTGCTCTCACGTGTGTGTGTCCGTGTGTCTGTGTGGGCAGTGGGGGCTGGGTGGGCGATTGTGGGCCCTGTTACTGATCTTCGCAAAGGAGGCAGTCTTCCTTTTTCCCAAGGCTTTCCTTCCCCTGGGCCAAAGTACCTGCAGCCAAAGTAAGCAAGAAAGCAGCAGGAGAAACAGGCCAGATAGGGAAGAGGTTCCCAGTCATCCTGCCTGGTGGGCCCAAGGCCTGGAAGCTGCCCCCCTAAGGCCCTGGCTCCTTGTTAACAGGGTGCTCTGGCAACCTCTGAGGCACCCTCGAGCCCGGGCAAGGCCCAGCCCTGGTTGGCTTGGGCATAGATGGTCTTTAGTCCAGGCTGGTGGGTGTTTGGCTTTCCCAGGCCAGCCTCCCTGGCTATTCCAGGGCTGGATATAAACAGCAGAGCCTGTTGCCCTCCCTGCTGGGGCCACTGCAGCCTTGAGCAGCATTGTCAGTGCTGACGCCTGGGCTTCCTCCAGGGGCATGTGGCCGGATGGGCCGGGGGCACTGCCCGCCTGGGCTGGGCACAGGGCAGGACAAGATGGGAGGTGGTCATCACAGGGCAGGGGGTCTGGGTTACCCTGGAAGTCAAGAATTGGTGGTGATGATTTCTGCCTCCGCCACATAGGATCTGAGGATGGGCCATGTATTTGCCACAGGATGGGACTTCTCACCCTTGCCCCCTCTCTAGGCCAACCTCATGGTTGGGACAAGAGGCAAGGCCTTGAACAATCCCATCTGCCTTTTAGTCCTGGCTGGAGGCCCTGGTTGGGGATGAGGACCCCAGGACCCTTGGGTTGGTTGCCAGCTTCCCCTCCAGACTTCCCATGAGCCCCCTGTGTTGGGGGAGGAGGAGCAGAGCATTCCTGGCTTTCCAGAACCCTGGATCCAGGGGCAGGGCACTTCCTCTGGCCGCCTTCCTAGTCTCTTGGGGTTTTTCACGCAGGATGGGAAGGGCTTTTGTCCCAGCTTTGCTGAGTGTTTTTTCCTGCTTCTGGCTTCTCTGTGGTCCAAACCTTCCTGCTTCCCCTTCCCAGAACCTCTGAGTCGAGCCCAGGAATATGAACCATGGTTACCATTCTCTGTAAAGGAGCCTTGCAGATAAGTACCAGCCCAGCCCTTAGAGGGCCTCCTAATCAGCCATGTGGAACTTCTTTCTTGTTGGTCTAACAAGCCCTGGCTAGTGTCTGTTTGCAAAGCCAGAAGTGGGAAAGCAGGAAAGTGAGAGTAGTGCTAAGTGACCCTCTTCTCCCTTTTGGTAGCCACTCACCCCCCTACTTCCAGGCAGAAGTGGGGGGTTCTCTCACTCCGAGAGCTCAGCACTTTTGCTGGGCAGTGGGAATATTGAAATGAATTGGACCCAGGATGTAGCCAGGCTATCAGAAGAAACAGATAGGCATGCAGATGATGCCAATGCAGGCTGCCCAGGGCTCTGAGAGCAATGGAAGGGGACCAGTGGGGGCCAGGCAGGAGTGCAAAAGTCTCTATCTAAGGAAATCAGGGGCTTTTTTGATCTCTCTCTTTCCAGAAAGCAGTCTGAGAAGGTTAAAGACATGCCAGTAAGGGAGAACAGCATAGAATAAGGCCTAGAAGTGTGAAAAGGTGTCATGTGTCAGGGAGTTTCAGGTGTTTCTCTGTGTCCAGAGAGGGTCCTCCGGTGGTATGTGATGCACAGCCTGCCAGGGATGGCTGGGGCCCGACATCCTGGGGCAGGGAGGGCTCCTACCACACAGCCTTAGCTCTCCCTAGAGGCCACTCAGCCCCTGGTGATGCTGATGGCATCTCGCTACCCAGGGGAAGGCCTGGGGTCTTTGCTAAGCTGTTGGGGATGCTGCCAGCCTGGGGTTCTCCTCCTCTGTTCTCTCTTCCGGCTGAGATGTCCCTCTATCTCTATTTTTCATCTCACGCAGTCTTGGTGTGTTGGATCTGACAGTGGCAACAGAAGTCAGTGACAGAGACCAGAATTGGAGAAGCTTGTATTCAAGTTCCAGCTCTGTCTCGACTCTGCCACTTGCCATGAATGTGACTCTGGGCAAGTGACTCCTCTGGGCTCTGGAGTTTCCTTATCTATAAAAGAAGAGGAGTTGAAATAACGTCCACTTCATAGGGCTGTTGTAAGGATTCACAAGCCAGGACAGGTAAAGAGCTTCACACAGGGCACAGCACACAGGAGTGTTTGGTAGGCTGGAGCCGTGGCTTTTCCCTCCTGTCCTCTCTGCTGCTGCACCCCTGTAATCATTACTTGCAGATGGTACTAAGGCCTGGCCCAGAGAAGTGAGAAAGGATAGACCATAGCCATGCTCCCCTGAGCACTAGCATTCCAGGAGAAGATGGGTGGCCACCTTGCCCAGGACTTATAAAGCAACTTTGTACCAGCAAGGTAGCAGGAACACCTGTCCCCGCTGCTTGGTGGAGGGCAGTGTGTCAGCCCAGGCAGTCAGCCTTTCTGAACAGTTCCCAGGAAGGGCAGGCTGGGAGGATACCAGATAGGAATCAAGGAGGGGGAGGTGAGGTCCAGGAGTGCCTAATGACCCATCTTGACATTACTTCACCCTCAGCATCCAACTTGGAGGCCCCCGATTGGCAACAGATTTAACTGCTCAGATATATGGTTTCATTTAAACAGCAGTAACTCTGTCAGTCCCGGGCTGACAAACGAGGGCCTGCCAACCACTCGGCCAGGGGAGCACCTTGGCCGGCCTGTGGCATGTCAACCGCTGGAGAATTACAGAGCCCGCTGGCCTTCGGCTGCCAGACCGATCAGACCCCAGGGGGCTCCAGAGGGGGCCCTGTTGGGAGGGAGGTCAGCTCGGCACCCATAAATACCCCTCCTCCCGGGCAGGCTGCAAAGTGTCAAGGCTCCGGGAAGATTTATGGCAGCCCAGCAGGAGGGGTGGGCGGCTGGTGGGCTGCGCAGACAGGCCAGGCCAATGAGGGACCCCAGGGCTGGGACTGCAAATGTCCTTGTTCCCCAGGTGCCAGGGAGGTCTGAGGGCAGAGGAGGAACCTCTGCTTAGGGAGAAAGCTAAGGAAGGTGAACACCACCCTCTTTGGTTAAGTGAGCCTCTTAGCCACCTGCTTTCCTGTGGAGAGGGGCTGGCAGCTAGGGCCTTCTGGTTTTCTTTGAAATAAAACGAGGGGTATGTGTGTGTATGTTGGTGTGTGTGCATGCCGCGCATGCATGCACACATGTGCACTCATCTCTGTGGGAGCTGTTTTGGAGTTTGGTGTCTTTATGTGTCCATCTGTCCATCTAGAGGAAGAGCAAGTGAAAAGTCTGTTTGGCTGGGGATAGATCGGAACCCCAGCTGGGGCAGGAGAGTCAACCATGGGTCCCAAGAGCCCTTCACAACTGACACCCCTGTGATGGCTCATATGTCTTCTCTAACCAAAGGAGGGAGGATTTATTTGTCCAATTTCTTAGGACAGAAAATCAGGGCAGGGGACAATATGTGGCTGAGTCAGGACTCAAACGGAGAGCACAGGGCACCAAGGCTTAGCCAACATTGCATCTCTCTGCCCTGCCGACCCTATCAGCCCCGTGGGCAGGGCTGCCCCCACCCCTGGGGTCTGAGGTCTGGGTACAGAGTCTGCTCCCAGGGCTTGGCCAGCTGGGTCACTGTGACCCCTCTTGCTTTCTACCCGAAGCTCAGCCTGCTTATCTCCTAATTCTCCGTCTTATCTCTCACTCTTCCACCTCCCCAGCACCCTGTTCCTTCAGCCAGGCCCAAGAGCCCCAATGGGGGTGGGCAGAGCCCAGCCCTGCATGTCCTCCCGCCTGCTCTGCCTCCATCTGGGTCGCCCAGGGTGGGCCAGTTGACTCCCGGCAGACACCTTCTTCTTGGGCCTTAGGACTTCCTGGGGATCTCTGGGGCAGAGCCCAGCTCCCTGTGGTTACCTTAGGAAGCCTCTGTCTCCGTATGTGTAACATGGGCAGAATGTTGACTGGACAGGAGTGAGGAGGCCAGGGCTTGCTGAGAATGGGCCAAGTTGCGACCACTCGCCGAGCCTGGCCTTTCTCCTCAGAAACTAGGCGGGGAGGCCTCCTGCCAGTGGTTCTTTGGGGATTGGCCACTTCCTGAGGAGAGATGGGAGAGATGTCTGTGATTCAGCCTTGCCCAGGTCCCAGTCTCTCTGGGCACCAATCCAGGGCTAGCTGTGGCTGAGTCCAGGGCCCCTAGCTGGGCTTCTCACTCTGCCAGTATGGGCGCTCGAAGAAGCACTTTGTGACACAGAATGAGGTGAACAAGGGAAGATGGGAAGCTGGCAACTCAAAGCAGAACAGAGACAGGCCCTCCCTCTTGTTCTCAGCCATGCAGGCCTTGGAAACAGTGGGCAGGGGAGGACTGAGGGAGGCCTGACTGTGTGTCCAGCTGCTCACTTGCTCTGTGTACACTTGTTCACTCCTTCAGCCGGCCTGAGGCCAGGCCCAGGCTCCTCCAGGGTGGGGGGCACAGGGAAGGAGAGGGGTGGGCCCCAGGCTGCCCCCAGGGTTGGGGGAGGCACAGGAAGGAGGAAGAGGCTTCTAACCCCAAGAAGAGAGAGCTATTCAGTGGGCATTGCCAGTTCCCCTCAGGCCAGAGGCTGCCTGGATCTCTCTGGCCCTTGGGGTTGGGGATCATTCCTAGGCTCTCTGTGCCTGTCTTGGGAGCAGATATCTGTTCATCAGTTGCTCACTGACCCCCCCTCCTCCGGGAGCCCAGAGATGACCTGGACATCAGCCCTGCCTTCTCAGACCCCATATTTATTATTTATTTATATTTATTAGGGAAGACAGAGGCACAAATGGGGCCATTAGATGGTGCAGGTGCCACATCCAGGGGATGGTGAGGGCACTGTGGAAGGAGGAGGGGTTGGGGAGAGCTTCATGGGGGAGGTAACAGGCATGCCATGAATTCCTGGGTGGCCAGAGAGGGTCCTCTTCCATCCCTGGTGGTTTAGAGCATGGATCTGGAACCCGACAGAGCAGTGTGACCTTGAGCAAGTTACTTGACTATTCTGGGTGTCTTCTCTCCATAGACTGGGAATAACAGCTGTACCATGGAGCTGCAATGCAACAACTAGTAGTTATCATAGTTTGAATTTATCACGGGGCAGGGCCCGGGAAGGTGCCCAGGAAGTACCTGCTGTGTAGACGGTGGCCTGCTAATGAGCCGCAGACACTGAGAGGGGCTGGTGTCTGTATCCCGTCTCCCTAAGATGATCTGCAGTGCCCCGTGTGGTTTTGAACGCCTGGGAGAGCGCAGTATTTGTCACCACAGAGGGTTGTGGACTGAGAAGGCCAGCTGTGGCTCTGGCCTGGCTCTGCCTCTTTGTGATCCCAGGAGAGTCCTTTACTTTCTCTGGGCAGTAGATTTTCATTTAAAAAATAGCAGTTTGGGCCAGGGGCATGATCCCTGAGGGCTGTTTAGGCTCTGGCATCCCATGGTCCTGAGTCCCACTCACCATTGTCACGAGTGTCCATTCTTGCCATGCTAGTGACCCTCCAGGGTGGAAGGACACCCCACATGGAGGCAGGCCCTGTCCTTACACTGGGTGCCCTGACTACAGCTTGGGTATTCAGAACCCGCCTCTTTCTTTGTTTTGTTTCTGCTTCAGACAAACCATTGCCAGCCACCTGCTCATTCTGGGTTGGACCACAGGCCAGGAGGGCCCTCCTTTCTTTCCATGAGCCTGAAAGCTCTGTATAAGGCCCAGGGGAAGCCCTGTGTTTGCTCTTCATGACTTGTTTTTTGAGCTATTGAGGCTGCTAGAGATGTGACTACAGGCCAAATGAGCATAAGATTAAAATTAATAATAATCTTCCCTCACATTTAAAGGAGTTCTTCACAAACTACTTCCATGAACATTATCCACTAATATTTATCAAGTGCTCAGTATGTGCCAAACCACCTTCTGATGCTTTGCCCCCTTCACAGAGGAGAAAACTGAGGCTCAGAAGGCTTTAGAAATTACTTCAGGTCATACAGCTTGTCGGAGGAGAGCTAGGGCTGGAAGCCAAGCCTGGCTGAGTTCTGAGCACTTCCACTGGATCTTTTCTATCTATCTATCATCTATCTATCTATCTATCTATCTATCTATCTATCTATCTATCATCTATCTGTATCTATCATCTATCTATTTATTTACTTGATCTCTGCTACACTTTGACAAAGTAGGCAGATAGGCAAAAGGGGCATCAAGAGGTGAAGTGGCTTGCTCAGGTCACATATCCAAGTGAGCCTCTGAATCGTGACTTGGGAGAGGGAGGGACCTGGCTGGATCGCGGACCCACACATGCCTCTTCCCTCCAGGTGGCTGACCAGATGACACTGCTGCAGAACTGCTGGAGTGAGCTGCTGGTGTTTGACCACATCTACCGCCAGATCCAACATGGCAAGGATGGCAGCATCCTGCTGGTCACCGGGCAGGAGGTGACCAGACCCTACTGTGCCCTGTGCCTTGTCCTAAAGCATATTTCCAGAATTCTGAGTCCAGAATTGGGGCTGGCTCAGCCCTTCCTCAAGTTCATGCCTGACCTCCCTCTGACCAGCTGTGTTCCTGGCCTTGACAGGAACCAGCCCCTGGGAAGCAGCTTAGGGATGTGGGGAGGGTCAGTGAGGCTCTTGAAGAAGGTGGGGGGTCTTGAAAGAACAAATAGGAGTTGGTTAGGTAGTAAAAGGTAGTAAAAGGGGGGGCAGTTCCACCCCACCAGAGCAGAGGGGACAACATGGGTGAAGGCGCACAGGGTGTTTAGAACAGCACCAGGGGCTGCTGGTACATGGGCACTAATATGTAGATTTGGGGGTCCAGGAGCTCTATGAGGTAAGAAGAAAGGCTGGAGGTAGGCCCTAAATCCTGAATGAATAAAGGAACAAGTGAAGGAATTTGCACCCCCCAGCAGGGAATTTGGGGCACTAGGATATGAGCTGGGAACTCCTGGGATCAAGCAGGGAGCAACAGTAGCTTTAAGTGAGGAAAGGCTCACTCAGGTTATACTTGAGGAAGCACACCATGGGGCAAAATGGGGGTGAAGAAGTCAAGGCCACTGTGGAATGCTGGGAACCTGGGAGAAGGACCCCCAACTAGTGGGAGGGGGTGTGGGAGACATGAAGGGGAGGAGGGAGAAAAAGAAGAGGCTGATGCCAGGGTCGAGGCTGGTGGAAGGAGCATCGCTCCCAAGGGGGAGTCACAAGGAAGAGTGGTTGGTAGGCACTGTGGGGGTAGAGGTTGGAGGCCGAGGCCCTGCTCCCCATCCCCTGTCTCCAACCGGGCCCTTGGTCCTCATGCTCAGTTCTTATCTTGGGTGTCTCAGGACATCCAGGGCAGGGGACTGCTGGTCTCCAGGGTGTGACTTGGAGACCACCTGTGAATGCAGATAGGAGAGCCTGAGGTATGAAAGCGTGTTGATATTGGCCTATGTCATCACGCAGGCTGGAGTCTCTGAGACCATGGAGATGTCCTGTGTGTGTGTGTGTGTGTGTGTGTGTGCATGTGCATACCTATATTTTATTGTACAGATATCTCCACACATTGTAAGTGTGTGATGGTGAGATCTACCTGCCACCTTGTGTGGGAGCTCATACATGGGTGCCTGTCTCAGTACCTTGTGATATGACCATATGAGGGCGTGTGTGTACGTGTGTTCACGTTATGAAATGGGTGGACTGCCCTATGAGTGTGTGTGAATGTGAGTCGAGGTGTGACCACATCCTCAGTCTGAGTGCCCACATGTGGGTGTGTGGGGACCTGGACAGTCATGTGGCTGTGTCCATGTATGTCCAGGCACACCTGCCCCGACCCTGCTCCACAACACCCAGCATGATGTGGTGTTTGCTCCCTGTACACACAAAACACAAAAGCCACTTGTACCACCGAGCATAAGGAGCTCTGAGCATGTGGGGGCCATGCTGTGGGGTTTGGAGGGTTTCTGGGGTGTGAGGAGATGCTGCCCCCATCTGGCGCAGCTCCAAGGATGGGCACCCCAACCCCCATCCCCTGACCCCCCCACTCCGGGCACTCTGCTGGGTGCTCCCTGACCCTGACATCCGCCTGTGCAGGTGGAGATGAGCACGGTGGCGGCCCAGGCGGGCTCCCTGCTGCACAGCCTGGTCCTGCGGGCGCAGGAGCTGGTGCTGCAGCTGCACGCCCTGCAGCTGGACCGCCAGGAGTTTGTCTGCCTCAAATTCCTCATCCTCTTCAGCCTCGGTGAGTGGGCCTGGCCCGGCCTGGGGCGGGGAGGGGGCAAGGTGGGTGGCGGGCCCGGCACCCAGAGGCTGACGTGAGGTTCTGCTCTAGGGTGGGGGCTTTGGTGGCGCAGGGACCCCTCCTACGATGAGTAAGGGTCTAAAGGGACCTGGCCCAGGCCTGGCTCTTCAAATGGAAGCTGTTTCCTCTCGGGGCCTCAGTTTCTCGGTTTGGGAGTACAGACGACCAAGACAATGCCTAAGATTTGCCCTTTGTGGGACAAGGACTCCTGAGAATTTGGTCAATTCCTGGCTGGAAGCCCTAAGAGAGTGCCCAGGCCACCTCTAGAAAGACACCTGTGCGGTTTCAGGCTCTCTGTTCCCTGGCTCCTATCCTGGGGGCCCTGTTTTCCCCGGTTCCCTGCTTTAGGAGATGGGGGGGGGGGCCCAGAACCTTTACCCATTCATTTGTTCACTCACTCATGTATTCACTCTACAACCTCTTACTGAGCATCTGTGCTCTGCAAAAGGCCCTAGAGACACAAGGCAAACAGGAAAAGTCCCACACCTGGATTGTCATGGAGCTGACCTCTCAGGAGAAAGACAACAAGCATGATGTCATTAGTCGGCTAGAGAGATGAATGAAATGATTACTGACATGCATGGCCTAGAATCCTGTGATGAGTGCTAAAGAGGAAAGCAACCCAGGGAGGTGGCAGCCCCCAAGCCAGGGGTCTCCCTCTCGTTGCCCTCCTGACCCGCACAGCCTCCACCCTCCCCGGCCGGCCTCCTGTCCTCCCTCACCTAGCAAGCCATCTCTGGTGCCTCCTGGCTGTGTCCAGCAACGCTGTGAACACAGACGAGTCCCTGCTGTCAGGTGGCTCCCAGCCCAGTAGAGGCCTTCATCAGGGGCGGGGACAGAGAGATGGGGAACCCAGAGTGGGGAGCAAGGGCTCTGCCTGGAAGGCTTCCTGGAAGAGGGAATTTTGAATGGGGTCTTGGAAGATGAGTAGGAGTTTGCGGGAGGGATATATCTTCCAGCAGAAGTGCGGATGGGATGGAAGGTCAGAACAGGGGGCAGGATTCAGATGTCATCTTGGTGGCTGCTGACATCATAGCCCCAGTCTGGCAAGGGAGTGCCTGCCCAAGGGCGGGGAGAGCTGGGCAGAGAGGGGTAACTGATGAAGTGTGGCTTGTGGGAAGCCCAGTCCTCGGGCTATGGCCACATGGGCTGGTCTCCTGACTCTGGCACCGCAGGCTGGTAGCTGGAGGGCTTCTGTGCAAGGCTGCAGGGCTTGGTAGGGGACAACCATGGTGCGGGGCGGGGACAGAATCATGGGCAGCCAGTTAGGAGCGGTGGCCTGGAGCCTGTGGAGGGGCCTCGGGGGCCCGGGCCAGGCTGGCTGCAGCTGGGGGAGATGCCGTTCCTTCTTGCCTCTGGTGGCTCCCCTTGTCTTTGTGAGCTGCCAAGCTCCAGGAACTGGCTTTGGCCAGTGGTTGTATATGGTTTGGGGTGTGGAGACTCCAGGAGTTCTGTGAATCTTTGTGCCTTTGCGTTGGTGCCTTTGTTTTCACGCACGTGCAGACTATGAACTCTCATGGGCTGGCGGCTTCTTACACATCGTGTTGTATAAAGGATCTGTAATTGGAAAGTTAGAGGAGATTTGGAGATAGGAGAGATTTGGAGAGCGTATAGAATTAGGAGTGTGGCATCTGTGGTGGTCTGGATGATGTGTGAGGCAATAGTTCTTGACTTGACCACCATCAGGAGGCCTTCAGGAGGTCTAGAGGAGGGGTGGGTGGATGGTGGGCTGCCAGCCACCAGTCTTCTTGGCCAGGCCTCCCTGTGAAGCAGGTGCCATGTCTTGGCTTTCCAGACCCCCCAGGGCCCGAGGCATACCCCTGCAGCCCCCGCCTCTCTTCCCAACAGAGTCCTGGGTGCTGGGGACTGCCAGGGTCAGCACACCTCTGGCCCTCACCAGGCCATAAATCCAGGGCTCCTCCTTGTATGGAGTGTAAGGACGGCAAAGCAAAGCAGAGCCCGGCCCTCTTCTCCCGGTCTGGCCAGGGTGAGTGGCCACGCTCAAAAGCCTGAGTGCCGGCTCCTCCCTCTCACTAGTCTTCATTCTGTTCTCCAGAGTGGGCAGCTGGGGGCCTGAGGCAGGGGCTATCTCCAGTGCTTGGCTGGCATAGGCTGGAGGGTGGGATGCAGGAGAGAGAGTGAGCATGTATATATGCATGTGTGTACACCTGCGAGGCAGGGCGGAACAGTAGTCAGGAATGCGGACTAGGGATGGACCACCTGGATTCTAAATCTGGACTGTGTGTCCTAGAGCAAGTCCCTCCCCTCTCTCCAAGAGCTTCTATTTTCCCATCTGGAAGATGATCATCAAAATAATCCTTAATTTGCTATGAGGATTTCATGAGGGAATTCCCCCGGTGTCAGTGTGGGGCCTGGCCTCTTGGAATGTACATCGGTATTGTTTTCCTTCTAACCTTCATTACGATCAGTGAGCGAATGAATGAATGAAGTGAATGAATGAACCTGTCAGTCTCCATCTCTATGGCACGCTGTGTCTGGCACAGTGCCTTGTCACAGGGCTGTGGGTCTGGCTGAGGTGGGTGGGGGAGTGCCCAGCCAGCAGGTCAGAAACTAACTCTAGTGAGGCTGAGTCCACGAGGGGAGGAGGAGAAGGCCCGGTGCCTGGGCCTCCCTGAGCAACTGGGAGAACAGTAGGGGAGGATGCCAGGTGAGCCAAATAGGCTGTTGGCGGACAGGTTCCAGGTTCTAGGTTCCAGGTTCCAGGTTCCGAGTTCCAGGAGGAGCCTGAGCAGTGCAGTGTGATCAGGGTTGGGCCAAAGAAAAGAAACCAGCCACACCTAAGATATCAAGGAAGGCTTCTTGGAGAAGGACTGGGCTGAGCTGGGCCTTGCAGTCCGAGTAGGAGTGTTCTAGGTGAAACAAAGCGAGCAGCAGCAAAGGCGTGTGCGAAGGGATGGGGAATCCTGGAAGTTCGGTGTGGTTGTGGGGCAGGGAGTGAGGTGGACGGATGCTGGGAGGTAGGCAGGCAGGGACTGAGCTGTAAGGCCTCAAATGCCAGGCCAAGGACCTTGACCCTTCCCTTGGGAAGGCTTTTCAACTGGAGTAACATGATCGAATTTGCATTCTAGCAAGGTCCTTCCAGCGGCAGCATGAGAGAAGGATGGCAGGCAGCAGCCCAGAGTCCTGGGGCTGGAGTGAAGTGGACAAATTTGGGCGAGATGAAGGGGAAGAGCTGCCCAGAGTCTGGAAGGTGGGAGGGGAGAGCCTCTCCCATGTTCCCCAGCCCGAGGGCCCAAGGATAGGTCCCCAAGGGACCTGGAGCCAGAGAGGGATGGCCACTTGCCCTTAGACCTCCAGCTGGCACCCTGGCCATCACCCTAGGGCACCTCCCTGGGCCAGGCCGCTGGATCTCCTGTGACAGCCGCTTCCCCACTGCACCCCACCCCATTGCCTGCAGCCCCCTCAGCGCCTCCTTCCCGCCTGCCTCCGCAGAAGGATGCCATTTGGCGTCTAAATAGCCGTCTCCGGCAGGCGTGGAGGCAGGTAAGGAGGTTTAATTAAAATTAGTGCCTCTCTCCTGGCAATCGCGGTGTTTATGAAGATGGGCCCGGCTGGCATTGTTCCGCCGAGGACTTAATCGAAGCTTAATGGATTGACCTAACATTCGATTTCCTGACTCCCATTGAGGCTGCCGCCGTAGCATTCCCTTAAGCGTTTGCAATTTACCCACTGCTCCCCGCCAACAAAAGGCGGCCTGAATAGCAGCCCCACTCGAGGGGCCATTGTGCGCGGGGGCGCCTGCCTGAGTCACCGCTATTGGGACAACATTCTTTATGCCTCGCTGGAATGAAAGGATTATTCAAATATTCAATTAAACCGTGAAAAGGGGGCTTTTCTGAGAACCTGGGGGCCCCCAGCTCCGCAACGCTGGCAGGCTGCTCTCCGAGGTGGGGGTGCCATCTCCCAGCCCTCTCCCGCCTCCCCCCTCCAGGACTGCTGGAGCTGAGCAGGCTGGGGGTGGGGGGCACTCCAGGCTCTTCTCCCCAGTGCCCGTCTCCGAGCTGCAGTGTCCAGGGGCCCAGGGCTGGGTGCGCAGATTAGGTCTGGTTCTTGGGCGCCCGTGAGGGTGGAGATGCATTTGCCCCTGTTTTGCGGATGACAGTAAAGGGCTCAGGGAAGGGCCTTGCCCAGGATCACTCAGTTGGTGGTGGAGCTGGGATTTGAACCCCTGGCATTTGAAGGGAGAACCGCCGGGTTTGTATGACCCTCTGCTCCTGCGTCCAATGAAGAAAGGCCTGGTGTGCAGTGGGATGTTGGCTCTGTTACACCTGTTACCCCACAATATCTTCACGACGGTCCCTGTAGAGGGGGTGCGGGTAGGCAGGAAAAGGAGCACAACTTGACAGTGGTCTCCTCCAGGGTAAGGAGGAAGAGGAGTCTGAAGCCCAGAGTAGCCTCAGAAACCTAGGCTCCCAGCGTGGGGGCCCTGGGGCGGGACTCCTGGATTGGAAGAAACCAAGGTTTCACATCCTGGCTCTCAGAATCGATGTCCAAGCTTGACCCCACCTGTGCTTACCCATCGGGCTTTGGAGCCAGGAGACCTGGGGTTGAATCCAGACTCTGTCATCTGTTGGGTGTCCTCGGCACACCCCACTGTCTCTGCGCTCAGGGGTGCCCTTTCCTGCCTGCTTGGGTGTCTGTGGGGATTAGCCGAGCGGGTGCCTGGGAGACTGGGAGCACTTATATTACAGTCACTGGGGCTCACCGCTCAGTGCTGCTTCTCCCTGTAGCCCTGTAGCCCACCACGCAGGGACGCTGGGGGGCTCGTCTGCAGAGAGCTGAAAGCCGTAGAACTGCTAGGAGTGGGGCGGCCCTGAGAGCTGTCCTTGTGCTGCACCCACCCCCTGAACTCCACCCCATTGTCCCTGGTACCCTGCGGTGAGGAGAACAGTAAATCCTGGTAAAGCCGTGGCTCTGGGACACTCCCACTCCTGCCTCTACTGCAGCATCCTAGCCCAACCTCCTCCCCCGCCAGCTCTTTCCTCTGGGCCCCCTTACTGCTGTGTGGCCTTCAGCTGAGCCCTATCCTTCTCTGGACCCCCAGCCTCCTACTGTGAATTGTTGGAAGACAATGTCAGGAGCATTGCCCAGCCTGGGGTGGGTGGGGGAGGAGGTGGGGATGGGCAAGTGGGGGTGGGAGGTGAAGGTAGACAGGACCTTATGGGATGAAAAGAGGTTGGGACAGGGATGGGGCCCGTAGTCACCTCTTGTGCCTAGGAGACCAGCTTCGGAGAGAGTGGGGCCTTCCCCATGACCTTTGAGTGTGTCTGGAGTAGTCCAGGCTAAGGAGGAAGGCTGCAATGTACCGTTGAACAGGTTGTTCACTGCACAAGGGACTGAAATCCAGCTTGAATAGGGGCTGAAATCCAGCTTGAATGCCTCTTGCCATACTCTCTCTGTGGACAAAGGGGAACTTCTTTCTAATTGGCATGAAGGTGTCTTATGGGCAAATGATGATCTTGGGGAGGTGAGGAAAAAAATAACCCTGACTCCCTTACTGAAGGGAGGTTGAGGGGGCCTGAGAGGGGGATGCTGTGTGGAGGACTGGGGCCAGATCCTGCCATACGCCTTGGGACCAGCTCGGGTTTCCCTAAATCCAACTTTGGACAACACAGGCCTCAGCAGGCGCACTGGGGGCGGCTGGGGATCAGGGTTGCCAGGAGCATCAAGCCCTCCTGGCGCAGGGGGTGTTAAGAGGGATTAGAAGGGCCAAGGACTGCACATGCTAGGCTCCAGACTCCCCCGCAGCCACAGGGCTGGCTGGTGGGGATGGGGGCAGAGAGGAAGTGGATGACCACTTTCTAACCACTGGGTGTTGTATCGCAGGCCAGCCAGGCTGAATTTGGGGATGGGGTACCAATTCTGTGGATTCCTGTCGAACCTCGGCTGCTGTGCTGGGCACCAGCTGGAGGTGCTGCCCAGGAGCTGAGGGAGACCTGCCAAGCAGCGATGAGGACTAGAGTGACAAGAAATGGACCCTTTCTAGGTGCCCCTGGGTGCAAGTGCCGGCACCCAAGCTCTTACCCCTGCAAGGTGGCACGCCCCTTTCATAGAGGAAGAACGCCTTGCAGCTCAGGAGGGGACAGAGCACAAAGCCACTGCCCCTAAATGGTGGGACTGGGATTTGAACCCCAATCAGCCTCACCCCACAGATGTTTTATTTTTGGCGTGTTCACTGGACCACCACTGGGTATGCAGGAGGCCTTGGTTATACTCCTCTGTCCCTGGCACAGTTGACCACCGGTCCACGCAGAGCTGACTGCCCTCCTGTCCCTCCCACAGGCCACCATTTAACTTCACTTTCAAACGTGAAGTTAAACCTTCACGTTTAACTTGGATTCCTTGTTTGTCCCTGTTCTTACATAACATGCAAGCTTCTGTGCCAGCAGTTTTAATTTATGTAGACGGCTTTGCCCTGTAGATCTCATCCTGGATCTTCCTTTTCTGTTTTTTTTTTTTTTTCCACTTTGCTCTATGCTTTTAAAGATCTGTCTATCTGCTCTGCGTCATGTCTGCTCCATTACTTGTGTCCACCGCATGGGACTCCCTGGGGTACACCTCCATAAATGGTGCTGCAGTGAACATCTGTGTGCCCCATGGCTCCAGGGGACAATCTCTTTGGGGTACTGGAAGGCTCTTGATTGGTTGCAGGGTAGACCAAAGGCATGCCTGTCAGTCTCTAGAATAGGGTCACCAGTGCCTGTGCCTGGCAGTTGGGACATAGGACCTTTGTAATCACAGTGGGCCTCGTCTGGTGATGGTGCTGCTGCTGACCGCCACGGGGATGATGGCAACAGGACAAGTTTTTTTTGTTTTTGTTTTTTTAAGTAGGTTCCATGCCCAGCATGGAGCTCATTGTGGGGCTTGAACTCATGACCATGAGATCAAGACCTGAGTGTTGAGAGTAGGGGTAATAATGGTGACACACTGGCCTCCTTATGTGAGAAGTAGGGGTAATAATGGTGACACACTGGTCTTCTTATGTGCCAGACACTGTTCTCTGAGCACTTTACACCTGCCAAGTCTCTGAATTCTCCCGACAGTCTGGTGAAGGTACTATTGTCACCATTTTGGAGGAAATTGAGAAGCTGAATCACATGCCCAGGGACATATGTGGTGAGGTTGGCATGGTTTTGGAGACGGTAGAGTTATTCATTGTGACCAGTGTGATGGTGATAGTGGCAATAATGATGGTGACATGTGATTGTGGTTTGGTTGATGGTGGTGGAAGTGGCCACATTTGGGAGGGACACAAGACTGTCAATCTTGGTGATTGATGCTGCTGGCAGTGTTCCTCAGCCATGGTGATGGTGCTATGGTGGTGGTGGGAGGACTGGTTGTGTTGACATTGGCAGCGCCCCGCCCCTATCTTCGGTGCTTATAGGGACGTTGGCGTTGCCAGTGACCATTGATGGTGTGATGGGCTGGGGATCATGACAGAGCTCCTCCCTTTGCAGACGTGAAGTTCCTGAATAACCACAGCCTGGTAAAAGATGCTCAGGAGAAGGCCAATGCCGCCTTGCTTGATTACACCCTGTGCCACTACCCGCATTGCGGGGACAAGTTCCAGCAGCTGCTGCTGTGCCTGGTGGAGGTGCGGGCACTGAGCATGCAGGCCAAGGAATACCTGTACCACAAGCATCTGGGCAACGAGATGCCCCGCAACAACCTGCTCATCGAGATGCTGCAAGCCAAGCAGACTTGAGCCTGGGCTGGGTGGGGCCGGGACCGGGGCCAGGGTGGGGGTTGCAGCCACCCCCAAGGCCCTCCAGATGGTTGATTTTATTATGCCGATCCAGGAGCCCCACCCTGTAAGCCCCTGCCCCTGAGCTGTCTGAAGCCCTGTGTTTGGGAAGGTGGGTGAGGGTGGACAGGGCCTGGCTGAGGGAGGGTGGCCCCACTGGCACTTGCTTGCTACTCAGAGTGCCCCAAGAAGGCGGCTGCTAACCATCCCCTCCCCCTCCCCTTGCACCCAGCTGTCTGTCCTGGAGTCTGGAGCACAGATCCAGGGAGGAGGTTCGGGATTCCCTGGTGGGCCTCAATGTCCCTCAGGTCAGAAGTTGTCTCTCCCCTCTCCGGGAAACAGAAGCAGAGAGGCTGAGCGGGCATCAACTGGGGGAGGAGAGGGGGTCTCCGGAACCTCCTCCCAGAGACCAGGAGGGAAGCCCTCTGTTTTGTTAACTAGGGGTAACTGAATTTGCAAAATTGGTCCTGCACTGTGGGGCCCAGAGGACACTGGGGGGAGGGTTAGGACAAAGACCTCCCCCAGCCCTTCTACCCCATCTGACTTGTGCAGGGGAGAACTCTGACATGCTATCTGAAAAGAATCTCACTGCAATCAGCTTTCTATCCCTCTCCCACCAGGGAGCTAGAACATTCTAGCCGCACCCACAGTGAGCCAGCCCAGGCTGGTAGTATCTGCAAGGCTGTAGTCAAGAGGTTTGTGGGTTTGTGGGGTTTGTTTTTTAATCTAGTAATCTAGATACTTTTTGAAAGGTGTATATGTGGGGGGAGGGGCAGGGGATGGATTTGAGGATTGAGGCTGGGACTTGGGGCTTAGCACCAGGTACAGCCCATGGTTTCTCTCCAAACACCTGCATGCCAAGTACCCCAAGGGTGGTGCTGGACCATTGTTTCAATCCAGAGAAGAGTTGTTGATTACCCCTCCTTAAAGGAATAGCAGGGTGCCCTGCTGGTCTGAGAGTCTCTGTGTGTGGGAATATGGGTGACCTTGAGGAGGGTGTATGGGGTCTCCAGATGGGGGAGATTGCTGAGAGGCCCCTCCCTCACTAGCCCGGTCCCCTTGGGTTCCTGGCTGCAAAGCTTGGAAGCTGGGTTTCAGCTCCCTGGTCTCCTCTGCCCTGTGTCCTGAAAAACACGTTCCAGGCCCAGGCACTAGGGAGAGGCCTTGGCTGTCCTTTCTCCCCTGGCCTGGGCGTTCCTGTCTCTCCTGCTTTCACGTTGCCATTACAGCTTGTGCTGAGCCTGTCCAGTTGGAGGTGACTGGGCATCCATGCCTCCTTGCCTTCCACCACCCTGTCTCCGTCCCCACCCCTGCCCTCTGAAATGTGTGCCCCTGCCAAGGCCAGAGGCCCATGACCCCAAAATGAGAAGTGCCCTTAAGAATCTCCCAGCCCCTGCAGCCCTAGAATAAATTTTGCAATTAGTTTCCAGCCACCTTTGCCTATGTACATTCTGGGGCCAAGGCAGAAACTCCAAGATGGGTTGGGGGGGGGGGTCTAGGGTGGGGAAATGCTGTGATTGGGATGGAGGCAACGGATAAGTTTTGGCTCAACACTTGGGGCCAGAGTGGGGCTACACCAGGTCCTGATGGGGAGCTCTTGGGTCCCACACCATCCCTGGGACCTCGCCATACCCAGGAGGCCCGAGAGATGCGTGGGTCTTCCTGGGCCTCAGCCTTAAACCCCCCCCCCCCCCCCCCCCCCCCCCCCGCATGCGTGTCAGCCGTCATCTTGGGCCGAAGGGCCAGTCGTTGTATGAGCACCTCCTGCGCGCCATACGTCACGTTCCTGTCCCGACAACGGCCCTGTCGGGCCGGGGTTCTAATCCGGGAGAGACACTTGGCAGGTGCCCCCTCAGCCAGTGGCCTGCAGGGGCAGATTCAAACCTGGGGCGTCCTGGCTCCGGAGCACCGGCGCTTCCCTGCGTCCGCCCGGCGGCCGGGCCCGCCCCGCTCGCTGGTTCTCCCGCCTCCCTCCGCTGGGTGGCAGCAGCGAGCACGGCCGATTTCTGGAGCGCGGCTTCGCGGCCCTCGGCCCGCTTTGTCTCATTTCGTCGTCCCATCTGCTTCCCAGCTGCCTCGGTAGTTGGCAGCTCCAGGTTACAGATGAGGAAACCGAGGCCCAGAGAGGTGAAGTGGCCTGTCCAAGGTCGCACGCTGAGAAGCGGCTTGCCAACCTCCGTCGTCCCCACCACCTGACTAGCTCACCCCTGGGGCCACTCCTAGTCCACTCAGGCCTTTACGCACATTAGAAAAAAGATGACACCGCCCCCCCCCCCCCCCCCCGGGAGAAGCATCCCTAGGCACACAGCTGGGCAGTAGCTTTTATGGAAAGCAAAGTGTCCCCTTCCCTCCTGGCACCTTCAGAAGTGAAGTAGATGCTCTGGTTCCTGCCTCTGGGGAGCGTCCAGTCTCTAGGACTCGGTCATGTCGTTGTCTTGTGTGAGCCATCAGGTAAGAGCAGATCAGATGAGGAAGTGATGGATTCTGTCCCTGGGGCGACAGGAAGTCCTCTCAGCAGAGGTGTCATCCAAACTGGGTTTTGAAGGATGTCCAGGGCTTCCCCAGCTAAGACAATCGTTGGGAGCAGTGTGGGCAGGTGTCTGGGGACCTGAGCAAAGTTATTTGGGCTGGGGAGTAAAGCGAGTAGGTGGTGGGGAGGAAGGGCATGGGGGGCGAGGGGGGCTGGAAAGGACTCCTGGGGGTGGGCCGCCCTAGAGATGCCTCCTCCCGCCCTCCTGCCAGTCTGCAGTCCGTAGGATTAGTTGGTGGGAAGGCGGGAGCTCCCCGGAGGCGAGCGGAAGGAGTCAGAGGACTCCGTAAATGCGGTAGAGACCAAGTGCCTGTCCGATTCAGGGCCAGCTTCGTGCTTCCCAGTGTTGCTGCGCAGCAGCAGGCAGCCAGGCTGAGTGCCTTGTTCTCTGGAACCTTGGCAGTGATCCAGTGATCGGTGATCTGGTGATCCACCGCCTGCTGCTCCTTCCTACGGCACTGCTGTGTCTTCCCAGAGCAGACAGACCGTTGCTGCCTCCTCCACCCCCCAAACCGGCTGTTTCCCGACTCCGCCGGGGGTCTTGGAGGCCTCACCCCCTTGTCTACAGGGCAGTTCTGTGCGCCACCTCCCACCCCCAGTCCCCTATACATCCTTCTCTGAAGACAGCTGACATTCTTACTGTGTGCAAGGCCCAGCGACTACCACACAAGACCGCATTGACCCCTCTTGTCACCTGTGGGATTGGCCTGATGTCCCCCATGGGCTTCAGAAGGTTCGACAGCTCCCACCCCTGGAATGAAATACCCGGACCCCTGTCCTTGCATGATGGATCGGCCACTTCCGGAGAGTGGAAGCAATACATGAGGTCCCAGAGAGAACTTGGTGCAGCTTGTGCCTTGCTCCATCTCCAGGCTTCCCATACAGCCCCGCCCCACCTCCACTCATGTGAGCCTCCTCCAGGGAGGCTGCTCTGATGCTCACATCCTCTGGCCCCTGCAGCATCTGAGCTAGGATGAGGTCAGCAGGACAGTGGTAGCGGCCCCTGGGCCCATCCTTCACCTGGCTTCCACCTCAAGGCCCACCCTGGTGCCAGCCTCTAACATGTCATCACCACCGATCACCTCGGCCCTGAAACCAACTCTCCCTAAGAAGGGACCTGGACTCAGGAATCTTGCCTCTAGCCCCTAGAATCAGTGGTGGCAGGCAGCATCCTGTCCCATAGCCAGAGTCTGAGTTGGAGTCTCCCCGCAGCATGACCCATCATACCTGGAGCCAGTCCCACCTACCCTGGTGCCTTCTCTGAGCAGTCTTGTCTGGGGGACTTCCCCTCACAGCACCAGCGGGGGAGAATATCTCTGAGCCTCAGCTTCTTCCTCTGTATAATAGGGGTGACAATAGTCATGGAGCTGAGGTGAGGACCCACAGCTCTAAGAGTCAAGGACTCAGTACCAGCCAGGTACACAGTAGGTGCTCATTAAGTGTTGGCTGCACCAACCCTGTTGATGAAACTAGGGCTGTCTTGATTCCCAGGGCCTCCTCCCAGGGAGCCTGGCCTCCTGTCCCCCTCCCCAGGCTGGGTGACCCCCAGGAAGGAACAGGTCACAGTAGTACCATTTATTAGGAGAGTTACCACAGGGCTGTCAGAATTTCAAGGCAGGCAGGAAGGGCCAGGGTGGCGGTGTGGGGGACAATCTTGGAAAGTTAGGGGGTGCTGAGCTGTGGGGCACAGCAGGGTTAGCACAGTACCAAGGCAGGGGTCCCACTGGAAGTAGGCAGAGGTTGATGGCAGAAGCAGCAGGTGGTCCTACGGGGGTCGTGCTGTCCCTCGGCTGGACCTTCCAGGGGTCCCCACGCAGACAGAGCATAAAGCCCACAAGAACTCTCTCTAGAAACCTGGGAGGAAGGTGTTGGGCTGAGCCAGCAGAGAATCCTGGTGGGGGCTCTGGAAGGGGCTGGGAACTGAAGCTGGGGAAGCCCTGGGGGGTGGGGATTGTGGCCCGGGGCCCCCTAGGCCGTCTCCCCCATCCCACTGTTTCTCTCCAAGAACACCTGGCGGGCGCCGCGCGGACTTCCTGGCTCTCAGGCAAGGCGCGGCCGCCTCGTGAGCGACCCGGAGCTGGCCGCCTCCCCGCCTCCGCGCCGCGTGCTCGGCCACCGGAGCGGGGCGGGGGCGGCCGGGCGCCCGGACGGCGAGGCAGGGTGGGGTCTGGAGGGAGGGTGGGCCGGCCGCGGCCGAGGTGGAAGCGCCTCCGTTGCTACGAGCGGCCTTAGCAACGCACCCATTCAGCAGAGACAAAGGCGCTGTCACTTGAGCGCGGAGGCGCCGCCGCCGCTCCTGTTCCCACCCGCGCGGCGGGGCGGGGGCGGGGGCGGGGGCGCCGTCGGGCCCCGCGGAAGGTCCACCGCGCGCTGGCCTGTAGGGGGCGACTCCTGCCTACTCTGCAGAAGGGGGCGCCTAGGCTCTGGGGGCCGGGGACACCAGGCGGGGAGGAGGCCCGCTGGGAGCCTGGGGTCCTACAGACTTGGGTTCCAACTTGCCACCGCTCACACCGATGCCCCTGTGCCTCGTTTTCCCCATCTGCGCGCTGGGGCCTGACCAGCATCGCCAGCCTCTGCCGCTGCTCGACGGGAGGATGGTTCCCCATGTCCCCGGATTAAAGGAGTCCCCAAAGGCAGGGCTTTAGCCCAGAGCCCAGCCCCAGTTAGAGCCGCACAGACAGGCCTCTTGCCCACACAGGGAAGGATCCCTGGGTATGAGGCCGGGCAGTGCCTTGCGTGCCCTCTACAGTCAGCTGTGCTCTAAGACAGGGGTACTCAGGCTGGCACAGGCTGACAGCGGCCAGAGGCCCCTCTGCTCCCCTTGGGCTAGGCTGAGCTCTGGAGGCTCAGTGCTCTCTGTAAGCAGGGCCTGGGGGAGCCCCAGCCTGGCTCCACTGCCCACAGGCCCCCATCAGCTGTCCCGCTGGGGAACAGAGCCTGGAAGGATGGCACTTGCTTCTCACCAGGTTTGGAAGTCCTTGCGGCCCGCAAGGCATCAGGATAGGGGCGCCGAGAGGGGTACACCCGGGAGGCTGGGCCTGGGGGGCAGACAGAGGGGGTGCACCAAGGAAGGAGGGCTCCTGGCTCACTGCCCCTCCTGCAGCACCGGCTCTGGGAAGGGAAGAGGTCCCAAACCTGTTCCCTAAGTACGCCTCTCCCGGTGAGCACTGCGCTATCCTGATGCCCCCAAGTGTCCTCATGGAGGCCTCTCAGACGCCAAGAAGAGGAAGGGCCCGCAAGGGGTGGGAGGACACGTGTGCTTGCTTCTCGAATCACCTCCATCCTGGGGCAGCGGGGCTGAGGGGGTGTCCAGGTGCCAAGGGGGAAAGGGGAGCTCCCTGACGTGGGAGCTGTACCTGATGCCTTGAATGCTGTCAGCTCCACAGCCTGAGGACACAGGAGGTCATCAGGGGAGGGGCCCCCACTCCCCCTGCTCCCCCTTGCCCTGGGGGCCCTGGGTGACCTTGGTGAGGACTCCTCCCCCCCCCCCCCTCGGCCTTGGTATTCAGGCTCTGCCAGTGCGCAGTCAGCACCTCCCAGTGGCTCCCAGTGCCCTGCCACCTGCGAACCCAACCAACGAACGGGGCCCCTTGAATCCCCGAGGGAGCCCCCTCCTCCCCGGCCCTCCCCGAGTCCCTGGGGATTCCCCTACTCTTGGCAAGACCCTGCACCCCTGTCCCAGCCTCACCGGTCTCTCGGGTTCTGCAACAGAGGAGAAGGCTGTGGGGACTCTGGGGCCGTGAGTCCCTACAGGAGAAGAACACTGAGTAGGTGAACTTTTAGGAGGCTGAGGCAGGAAGCTCTCTCTCTCTCCGCTCTCCCACCCTGGACAGGACCTCATTATCAAGACCCTAAGGATCCACTTAAAGGTTTACCCCACAGATGAATGATGAAGAAACTAAGGCCCAGAGAGGGAAGGCAACATGTCTAAAGGCACACAGCAGGCGAACTAGGAGCTGGGCCTGAAACTCCTGGCCTGGCCTTGAAGTCCTTTAGCTCATGCTGTCTCAGGGCCCCAAACCCTATCTACCCACCTGGCTTCTGGAACCTCAAGCCCCCTCTGCATGGAGACCCAAGGAAGGTGACCCTGAGCAAGGCCTATCTCTGGGCTGGCAGCAGGGGCCCCTGTCCCCTGGTGGTGGTGGTGGTGGGAAAAAAAGAAGCCATTTTTAAGCCATTCCTCAGGCCCCGAGCTTGCAGAATTCCCTGGGCCTCAGCCTCCTTGTCTTTTGGACGGGCTGAGGATCTGCCATTGCCTTCCCAGCTTTACTGGAACACTGGGGAAACTGAGGGACTTGGGAGTACTCAGACTGGAGGCTTGTGTGGCCTTACCTCTAACAGCCAAGTGTCTTCGAGCTGGAGCCAAGGCTACAGGGTCATCCAGAGCCACCTCCCAGGGACCCAGGGACCTAGGGTGGGACCCTGGGCCCATGGGGCTGGAGCAGGCCTGAAAGGAAGGGGTGTGGGCTCTGGAATCCTGGCCGTGAGCAAGACCTCCCACCCCAGGATCCCCACCTGCCCTCACCCACAGTGAATGCCTCTGTTGCCTTTTTCTCAGTCATCCTCTGCAATGCACCCCGGACCTGGGGGATGGTCAATGGGGTCAGGCCTGGGACCCTCCCCTGAACTCCAGCCACGGGTGCCCTGCGAGTAAGCCCTGCCTACCCCACCCCCCAGCAGCCAGTGTCCCCAACTCACCTCCCAGTTGTAGGCAGCATAGACCAGGAAGATGTATGGCCCCTGGGGACAGACCCAGCATGTGGGTGGGTGTCACTGCCTGGGAGCCCCCCACTGCTTAGCCCTGGGGCCACAACAGGGACACCTCCAGAGATACCCAGAGACATTCAGAGACAGAGGCTGGTGAGCAGAAATCCTGCCCTGCCCCCCTCCTGCACTTGGGAGGGGATATCTGTGACACTATGGTAGACAGAACCAGAAGGGGCCTTACTCCACTCAACCCCATGCCTTCAGCCTCTGGCCACCAGACAGCCTCTCTGCTCTCTTGTCCCTCTGTGTGTTGTCCCCCCACCCCCGCCGCCCCACCCTTACAGCCTCATCATGGCTACAGGAGTGCCTGGTGGGAAGGGGGACACCTTCCTGAAATCAAGGCTAAACCAAATCCTGGGACAGCAGACGTGTGAATCATGCTGATTTGTGCCTCCAGTTGAGCGTCTCTCTCTGACCGTCTGTCTCTTCACCTGGAAGGTGGAAGCCCAGACTCACCCCTGCTGTGTGTGAAGGACATAGCACAGTGGTTGGGTCTTCCTGCCCACACGTGTGAGGACCAAGAGGGCCTGGCTACTCACAAAGTACCATGACACTAGGGGTGACAACTCTCATAGCAGCTCCATGGCAGAGGGGTTGGGTGGGTTAATCCTTCCTTTTGATGGATAGGTAACCCTGGGGCCTGGGGCAGGGGACAAAGCAATGAGTCCCAGGCCAACGTGTGACCCAGCAGGTGGAATTCAGAGCCTAGGCCTTCCTCAGATTCTACCTGGATAGGCAACAGCCCCTGTCTTGAGGCTCAAACTGGAGGACACAGGTTGGGGTCCAGGGGGCTCCTTGAGGCCTTGTAGCCTCAGTATCAGAGCCTGATTGTCCCTCTGGTTCTTAGGCCCCAACTGGGTTGCTACCACCCTTCACCCTAAGACAGACCCTGGTGCCCCCGCAGCCAGGGTGTCCTCCCTCTGCAGCCTTCCCCATCTGGTTTCTTCCACACACTCCTCTGCTCAGCTCCTCACACCCAAACAAAGGCATCTTTCCAAACTCCAACCGGACCACACCAGCACCTACCTGCCTGACATTCTCCCAGGCTCTTTGGCACCCCTGGGGTCACACTGAGCTCCTGACAACAGCTCTGGGGACCCTGCATGGTCTGTCCCATTTCTTACCAGCTCACGTGCCCCTCCTTCACGTCTCCACTTGATCCCACCACCTCCCCTGATCTAAAACATCCTTCCCCCTCACTGTTTGACTATTAGCTGAGAATCACTCCCTCTGGGAAGCACCCTTTCTGCCTCCCCATGAGAAGCTCCTCTGTCCCCACCCTGCCTCCAAGTTCCCTCAGGTTCTCAGCCTCAATCATGCTGTGCTGTGGGTGATGGTTTTGCTGTTTGTCTCTCCCTCAGGCTGAGACCTCCAAGGGTGGATTCTTTGATCCCTGTGCACCACCTCCAGGATGCCGCCCAGAGCGGGTACCCAGGGAAACACATCCTCACACTCATGGTTCTTCTGGTGTGTGCAGGGTGTGGTGCTTTGCACTTTGCAAATGTCATCTCAGTTGAACCCCATAGTGACTCCATGAGGTAGAGAATATAAGCCCACTATAGTAGAGATGTGGCAACTGGGGCTTGTTTCAACTTGTCTGGGCCTCCCAACAAGACTGGGCCCCGGGGAACCACAGCTGGTTAGATGTGCAGCTCAGCTCTCCTGCCACAAAACCTGTGACAAAACCCTCCACAAGGGCCACAAACCGCAGCCCTGAAGAGTGAATGAGGCCCAGCTGGGTTCTGTCCCTCCAGCTCAGGCCTGCTCCAGGAAAGGAGGGTGGTCCCGAGGGCAGCTCTTGCCCAGCTCAGCCCCAGACACCGTGAGCGAGCGAGGGATCCTCGGAGGTGGTTGGGCTGAGGGAGACAGGGAGGGACAGCAGTAGAAAAGACAGAGAGGAGAGACCAGGCCAGGCTGAGGGGATCCCAGAGAGCACAGCCCAACTGGGGGACCTGTCCGCAGATGATCCCGGGAACATCAGGGTGGGCCCGGGGCCCAGGCCATCTGGCTCCACAAGGCAGCCTCTCCCCACCTTCACCAGGAGACCTTGGCAAGGAAGGTCGAAGGCTGACTGGGAAGAGAGGTGGTGCTTGAGGACAAAAGCCGGGGGGTCAGGGGTCAACATAGAGGGAGACACAGTGGGAGGCCCAGGGAAGGCAGGTGGGATCTGTGCCAGAGGAGGGGACCGATGGAGATAGCTGGGACTGGGACAGAGCCAGAACCTCAAACAAAATTCAGAGACAGAGACAAAGTGAGATGAGGGGAGAGGAGAGAATGGGGAGGGAGGGAGGCCAAGAGGTGGCACTGGCTCCATGGGCTGCAGCTCTGCCCACCTGGAGGCTACTGCAGGGATGATGCTCTGTGGTCACCATGGCAACGGGCTGCTGCTACCAGGGCCACTATGGGGGGAGGAGGTGCCCCGGGCAGGGTGGCAGGCTAGCCCCGCAGGGCCCAAATTCCAACCCTGGATGCCCTGAAGCGTGGGGCTCAGGGGAAGGCTTCTCTGTGTCAGGGAAGGGGTGCAGCGAAGCCCTCCGCCCCCCACCACTCAGGCTCACACAGGTCTCTGGAGACATGCTTCTTTGGGAATAGCTGGAACCCCTGTTTTTCTTCATTTTCTGGGCTCCTCTTTGGCCCAGCCTCCATCCTCTCTCCCAGCAGCAGCCCCTTCTTTCCTCTCCACACCCACAGCCGGAGAGAGTGGGGCATCCCCACGGCCCAGGGGGAGAAGGTGACATGGACAGGGACCTGGTACCCACCACCACCTGCACCCTTCCTCACTCCCTGCCCCACCCCCCTCCCCCCCAGCGCTTCATGCCTGGTCTCGGCCATGCTCAGCCCCACAAGAACACAACATTTTTGTGCCTCCTTTCCTGCTCTGTCCCCGGGCCTTGACTGGTGCATTGTACCTCGCAGGCACCCGACAGATACCACATGGACGGATGAATAACTGAGTTGGGTGCTTCCCCGATCCCGCTCTCCTCCCCACCCCCCACCCCTGGTCTTCCAGGAATCAGCCAGGCCCAGGTGCACATGGCTGAGCAGACTCTAGACTTGGGCCCCAGCCCTGCTCATCCTAGGCTGTGGCCCTGGGCAAGGACCTCACGAGTTCTGCTTCCTTTCCCGGAGCTCAGAGCTCCTGGGCATCCTGCATGGCTGTGCACAGCCTCCGGCCCCTTCATCCTAGGAGTAGAGGGAGGGTCCCCAGGAGGAGCTCTGGGACACGTGGCCCTGGACAGAGTTGGTACCTGATTTCCTGAGGTTTCCTTGTCTGTCCTGGAGCCCTCCTTTCTCAGGCCTGGCAGGAGCCAGGAGGAGGAGGTGCGCACAGCAGAAAGAGGTGCTGGGGGTGCCAGGGAGGCTGAGGGGAAGGGCAGGGGCAGAGAAGGCCCTGCTTGGACCTCAGGCCTCTGGGTTGTGCCTGTCTGGGTCTACGTCTGAGTCTCCCACAGGACTGCAGGCCCCCCGAAGACAGGGACCTAGTCTGACCCCTCTCCATGGCTCCTGGACACAGGACCGTGACAGGCACATAGGAAGCTTCCTGCCACCCCACTGTTACTGACTCATTTATGTGGGCTGAGCGATGTGCTCCTAACCAAACCCTTTTTTTAAATTTTTATTTTATTTTATTTTATTTATTTATTTATGATAGGCACACAGTGAGAGAGAGAGAGAGGCAGAGACATAGGCAGAGGGAGAAGCAGGCTCCATGCACCGGGAGCCTGATGTGGGATTCGATCCCGGGTCTCCAGGATCGCGCCCTGGGCCAAAGGCAGGCGCTAAACCGCTGCGCCACCCAGGGATCCCCTCCTAACCAAACCCTTTTTAAAACTGCTGTCTTCACTACCACAGGAGCTAACACTGCCCCACAGGGTCACCCTCTGACCCTGACAGAAGAGGTCACTGGTGTCCCGAGCTCCATCCTTGGCCTCCTGCCGCGGCTTAGAGTAGCTCCAGCACCAGCCAGGTGGCTGGAACTTCTGCCAACCCCCAGTGTCTGGACCTCAGCTTCCTCACCTGTAGAATGGGCGCAGAATCCTCCACGATGTTCTGCCTCTTTGATTTGAGGCTTTGTTCGCACTCTTGCCCTCACCTTCCTGCATCTTGACAATGTCCCCTGCTCGTTGTTAGTGACTCCCATGATGGACAGGACACTCCTTTCCCGCCTCCTGACAAACCAGTCACTCCCTGTGAGTGCCACTGCATGTCAGAGCCCTAGTCCCAGACGATCCGGGGCCTGGAAGTACCTGGAAGGAATTGAGGCTCACGGCAGCATACGCCCAGGTTGGGCTGCGGTGCACCAGCATGCCGACCAGCCAGCTCAGGCCCAGGACGGGCAGCAGGACCAGCAGTGGCTTCACTGTGGCCCTGTGGGAGAGCGGGCAGGGCTGAGGGAGGCTGGGGTGGCCTGGGAGCCCCTGCAGGCTGCTGGGTAGGGCGGCACATGGGAGGTGCCTGCCGAGGAGTCAGTGGTGCAGACCAGGGACCCCTGCTTAGGACTTAGGTGCAGCTGGAATTCTCAGCTGGACTTGGCTATTCCTTCTCAGAAGTGGTATGAAGTTGGGGCAGTAGCACTGGAGAAATGGGGTCCCGGTCCCAAACTTGGCTCAGAGGAAGGGTGTGGCAGCCGTCGGAGGGAAGGCTAAAGACTGGGCAGTGGATCCAGGGGGCACAGAGTCCAAAGTCTTCCCTTCTCAGGGACCCCTGAGACTCCCTGGCTTGTCGGGGACCCACTGGCTTAGACTGCTCTGCCCTTGGCAGACGACGGGGGAGAGGAAGACCAGGGGTGCCCTCCTTTTGGCAGGAGATGGCCCTAGAGAGTGAGAGAAGTCCTTGGCAGGGGTAGGGACCAAAATCCTCACTCTGAACCTGAACTTCTGGGGACTGCCGGATCTGGTGGGTCTCCCCCTACCTTGTCCCTGCCAGGCCATTCGCGCTATCCATAGATGGTGAGCTTCCAGGATGGTGGCTTGTGTCTACAACCCCTCCCACTCATCTACACTGATTATCATCCCCCCAGGTGACATGCGTGGGCACAGGCTTGCACAGGTCCACACACATGAGCATGTGTGCACACACCAGCAAGGCATTTGTGCACACATATGCTCATGTACAGCTTCACACCTGTGAACAAACAGGGCCTCATGACCACATGCTGCCACCATGGACTCACACAGTCTCACATCCAATGAGTCCCCCATCCGGCTCCCCCACTTCTGAGCCTCACCATGTCTGGATCCTGATCTGCTCCTGCAGACAGGGCTGTGGGCTCAGCATGCGGGCATGCCGGCGGGCACTGGACACAGTGACCATCACCACACGGACCAGGATACACGTGTTGGCCTGGGGACCTGGTGTCAGTGGCCGAGAGGGCCGTCCCCTTCCCCAGCATGCCCTCCCCCAGGCCCCTGGGCACCCCCGCTCACTGTCAGCACGAAGAGCACAGGCCCCACAAAGGCCCAGATGGTGTCCGTGTGCACATTGAGCCAGCAGTGCCCAGTAGCCACATAGTCATGGGGGGACACAGCCACGGTGGTGGCCACAATGGCCACAGGTGCACCTAGGAGAAGCATAAGTATCCCAGGACCATGCCACTCCTTCCGTCCTCCCCAGGTTGTGGCCCCTACCCCAGAGCCACAGCTGTCCCAGGCTAGCAGGTGCACTGGTGGGCGCTGGGAGGTCTAGGAAGGGGGCTGGGTGGGCACCATCCTTCTGGGGTGGCCTTGGAAACCTGGGTAGCTGGGGAAGATGACAGCTGGGACAAAACTGAGAGCTGAGACTCATTGGAGAGGGAGGGTGGTGACTGGTAGGGGGGCCAGCGGGCCACAGATCAGGGAGATGGTGCTAGGGGTGGGGAGTTGAGATGGCTGGGGTGGAGGGTGATTAAGAAAGGCTGGGGTTGGGTAAAGCTGGAGGGTGACAGAGCTGAGGAAACTGAGGTGGGTGCTGGGCACCAGGCAGTGCCGGGTGCCAGGTGGAGATGGGGACTGGGCCGCGTTGCGGTGGGGTGATGTTGGACAGCAAGAGGCCACAAAAAGCAGAGCTGAGAACAGAGTGGGAGAGGGGGCCAGAGGGTCCTCACCTCAGCCTGTGGCTTAGAACAGTGTCATCCTGGGGCCTGGGCGCATGCTTACAGCCACCACTTTGCTCCATAGCAGTAGGCCCTCCACCAACATCCAGGAGAAGGCAACCAAAAAGAGAAGGTGCATGATAGCTGTGACGGCCACACAGGTCACCTGTGGGTGGGAGGGTGGTAGGTCCCCACCAAAGCCAGCTGTGGGTGCAGCCCTGTTCTGGGTCCCATGCGCCTGCCGGCATCGTAGACCCAGGGAGGTTCCAGTGGGGAAGGACTCTGGGCAGTGCCCTGGGCCCAGAGCCACCACTCTGGGCATTCTTTCATCTATGTGCCATGCTCCCCCAGGAAATGGAACCAAGTGAAGACGTCCGGGGGCAACCCAGATAAGGCTGGCCTCCCCCCAAGCTCACAAGCATGCCTGCTAGGTGCCCACCTCGTTGGCCTTTGCCCACTCACTGGCCATGAGGAAGCCCTCAGCAGAGGCCAGGGAGAAGGTGAGGTTCTCGTGGACCGTGGCTCGCTCTGACTTGGGGACCCTGGACAGGCAGGAGTCAGTTAGCAAGGACACCACCATCAGCCCCCACCCCATCAGCCCCTCCTGCTTAGGTCCCTGTGAGCGGGCTAATGAAGACAGAGGTAGCAGTGTCCAGAGGGCCCAGAGCTCTAAGGGAGGAGACCCTGGACCAAGGTCATTTGGGACCAGGATGGACATGACTGGAGCTCATCTCACCGGGCTGCCAGGAAGAACAAGAAGGTAGTGGCAAGGGCACAGAAGGACACACCGCAGCCCACAAACGAGAGCGTCCTCAGCAGTGACTCCTCCTCAGCGCTCCTCTGTGGGAGGGCCGAAGACCCCAGAGTATAGTAACCTGGCCACCACCCTGCGCTGACCAGACCAGGCCTCGCCCTGTCCCCTCCTTGTCCGTAGTAAAGCAGGAATGGTGACAGCACCAGCCGGCAAGGCCAGGCCTACGTACAGCAGGTACTTAATGAGAGCATTTGCATGTCCTCTCCTGCTGGCTGTCCCTAAACTGGCCCCAAGCTGTCCAGTGTTCACTGATCCCACAGCTATTAAGAGCACTGGGTTGGAAGCGACCGACACAGCCATAGGGAGAGGATGGCATGTGACAACCCCCCACTGAGGGGCCACGGAGCAGACCTGCAAACACGGCCACTCTCTGTTTTTACAGGACAAATGTGTCTGACAGCATGTTTCTCTAACGTGCTCCCCCGCACGCCGCGGGGCTCTGGAATTCCTGGGGCCCCTGCCCTGTCTCACTCAGTCTCTTAGCAAGTGACCACTCAGAGTCCTTGCCAGCTCTAGTGGGCACACCTGCCGGGCTCTCCGCCTGGAATTTGGTGTGTTTGTAAATGTGCGGTCCGCCCAGGGGCCACCCTTGGTTCGGTCTCCTTTTCCTTCTGCCCTCATCTCAGCCATGGCTTTACCTACAGGCTCTGTCTCTCCAGCTCCCACCCTGACACCCACGGACGTCCGGGCCCCGGAGCCATGGCCCGCCCCACCCTGTCATCCACCTGCGCCCTCTGAGATGACACCTGCATCTCCCAGCTGCCCAGGCCTTTGTCTCCGACGACCTCCTCCTCCCTCAGTCCCTCTATCTGCCTTATGTCCCCCAGTGCAAGGCCCCCGCCTTCTGCCTAGGTGACTGGCCCAGAGAGCCCTCGCTGCTCTTTGACCATCCACCTTACTTCTAGCACCAGAGGGCTCCCTCAGGGCAAATCTAATACCTGCTTACCACGTTCACATGCATCCTCTGCCGGTAGCATCACCACCTAAGTGCGTGAGCATTCTAGGCTCTGTGCAATCTGACCCATGCCACTTGTCCCTCCATCTTCTTCCACTCCTGGGCCTTACACTGGGAGCTCCAGACACATTGAAGTTCTGGAATATGCCAAGTCTGCCTGCCATTTCTAGTCTCCTTGCCTTTGCTCAGACTCGCCTTCTGCTTGGGATACATTTCTGTTGAACTCTTGGTCATCCTGTAAGACTTGGTTCTGACTCTGCCCTCCCAACCCTACCTCCCTGGTACTCACCTGGACGTCATACACCTGCAACAGGACAGCGAAGTTGGTGCTGTGGTTGCAGAAGCAGGTGGTAGAGTCCTGGTAGAGGGTGGCCACAGAGCAGCCAGTAGTGGCCCACGAGCCTCCTGTGTCTGGGCTGGGGAAGGGTAGAGAACAGAAGGGCTCCTGAAATGAGGCGGACATCGGGGGTAGGGGTAGGTGGCAAGGAGGGGAAGGCCTCTCTCTAAAGCTTGGGGTCCAGCTGCCTCTAACTCACTTTGTGACCCTGGGCAAAGCTCCTCCCCTCCCTGGGCTTCAGTTTCCCTTCTGTAAAGTGCACCTAACACTCTCAGGATGATCGGGGAATGGGGCTAATACCAGTGATTACAGTTGATTAATTCCATTAGTTACTAAGTGACTAAGTGATTGATATTCAGCTAAGGATCCAGGATAGGGAGCTGGGGCTAATCTCTGAACCCTCCTCTGCTCCTTCAAAGGCCCAAGGGCCCTGGCCTTGGGTGTATCATTAAGTCTGCCGCCTATTTGACACATGAGTCTGTCTCCAGGCACTCCACAGGGTGAGCTCGCCTATCTCCCATGATGGGGAGCTTACTACCTCCCTTAACAGATTCTCTTGCTTCAGCTTGTCCTGGAGCTGGGGAGGGGTCTGAGGCCACCCCTGCAAGATTGGAGACCAAAACTACACCTCATCCTCAAGTAGAACAGATGGCTTAAAAACAAACAAACAAACAAACAAATTGCCTTATTTAAAGAACTCAGAAATGGAAACTCACCTGATACTGAAGTTCCAGAAAGCACAGACAGGCTCCACCAGTTTCTGCTGGGAGACCTAAGGACAGGAAACAGGGAGAGAGCAGGTGTGTGAGTGGGTACGGGGGACATGGGGTAGGTGTGTGAATGTGTATGGAGAGGAGAGACCGGGGTGATGCAGGGGGATGTTGAGTCCTCTGAGTTTGAGGACTTTTTAGTGTATGTAGATTTGCCTACTTTAATCAAATTGATGTTTAGTTTTGGGATGATACACAAAAGACTGATAAACTGGGATCCCTGGTGGCTCAGCTGTTGGGCATCTGCCTTTGGCTCAGGGCGTCATGATCCCAGTTTGGGGGTGGAGTCCCACTTCGGGCTCCCTGTGAGGAGCCTGTTTCTCCCTCTGCCTGTGTCTCTCATGAATAAATAAAATCTGAAAAAAAAAAGACTGATAAACTGTGGGGTGTGTGTATGTGTGTGTACATGTTCAGGATTAGTGGCTGTGGGCAAAACTGACTTCAGCTTTTTCTGAAACTCATGTCTCAAAACCAAGAATTTGTGTATTTCATGTAATGAAATGAAACCACATTTCCTGGAGATCTTTCCATGTCGTTTTATAGAAAAAGACCCATTCTTTACATAACTCTAGTGGATTATTCCACTGTGTAGCTGCACAGGGCTTTTTTGTGCAACCCCCCTCGGTGGACACTTAAGTTATTCCAGCTCTCAGGAGCACATTGGCGTGCAGATCTCTGTACAGCTCCCTGGATGTTCCAATGGGAACCACCAGTGTTTGGAGTCATGCACACCTCTAATGAAGTCCCAGCTCTGCCACTCACAAGCTAGGGCCCATCACAGCCCCTCCGCCAAGCTCACTTTTTGCCAATGTCAACTGGGCAGTTGGAGGATTACATGGATATTGCTTATTTAAGACACCCAGCATAAAGTAAGTGTATAATAAACTACTTCCCTTTCCATTTCCTTGAAGACAATGGGATGGCTTGTGAATCTTTTTCTTGACCAGTTTAGACCTTGGTTTAAATAAATGAATATTGGGGTAGGGGGACACCAAATTAGGATATCCAAATATCCAGGATATCCAAACCAGGATAAGTGTAGTGGGGTGGCAGGTCTCCCTCTTCCCCCATACCTGGGCCTGGTGCTGCAGATGAAAGGTCACAGCTGTGCTGACCTCCCCAGTTTCATCCCACACCTCAGAGGAGATGATGGCTGAGCCCACCTGGGTGCCTAGAAACCTGTGGGGAGAAAGGGAGCTTTTAAGGGCACCAGCTGGCTGTGTGGGAGAGGTGGTAGATGGCCAGTCAGGAAGACACAACCTCTATGTCCGAAGAAACATCAGGAAATGCCCTGTGTTTGGAATTAGGGCACATGGGTTTCAGTTTTACCTTGGAGACTTGCTAGTAAATTCAGTAAGCCCTGTCTTCTCCCTGAATCTCAGCACTGAAGCCAGATAGTAGTTGAATCAGGTTTCAGCAGCTTGCCTTGGGCAGGCCCAGAGATGTTGTGTGTGTTGGGGATGGGAAGGGTTTGGTTCTGGCTGCTAAAGGCAGATTTGCCTATCAGAATGAGGGCTCTGGGATGGGATGAAGGCCTGGCCTTCCCTGAGGAGGGGATCCAGACCCTCAGGAACTTACTGGGTAGGGCCTACTCACCTCTGCATCTTGTTTGCCTCTTCTGAGATGTCAGGGGCTTGGGGCTCTAGGCCAGGCTCCCCGAGAGTGTGCTGGAAGATGCTTGAGCTGAACCAGCTGTGGATCATGGTGACTCCAGAGAGGCCTGGCTAAGGAGGAGAGGGCCAAGACCCCACCGTGTAACTGAGCAAGTGCCACAGGTTATCCTGAGGGAGATGCTCTGCCAGCCTTACGGGAGACTGAGGCTCATAGAGATTAATTGATTTCCCAAAGATCACAGTTAATAAGTGGTAGAACTGGAATTCCTTTTTTTTAAAATTTATTTATTTATGATAGTCACAGAGAGAGAGAGAGAGGCAGAGACACAGGCAGAGGGAGAAGCAGGCTCCATGCACCGGGAGCCCAACGTGGGATTCGATCCCGGGTCTCCAGGATCGCGCCCTGGGCCAAAGGCAGGCGCCAAACCGCTGCGCCACCCAGGGATCCCTAGAACTGGAATTCCAATCAGCCATGGTTCATGCACTTGACCTGGCAGCTCTAAGGCCCTCTGGCCCATGTCCTGATCTTCCAGCCCTGGGTGGCAGCAAGGGTGGTGGCACCCTCTACCACCCACTTCCAAGAGGAAATGTGTGGAGTTCCGAGGAGGAGACTAAGTGAACACCTACCATATGACAAGTGCTTTTGATCTCATAACAACCCATAAGGCCAGTACAAACAGGACTGTCTTACAGGCAAAAAACCAGACTCTGAACGCTGAGGGAACTCATTCAAAGTAATGGAGTTAGCAACACGAGGGCTGACCCAGACCCCAACAGGGACCCACTCCCCACCCTCTTATCCACCTTTCCCAAGGAGCTGCTTTACTTCACTTGCAGGGATACGGATGTGGCCGGGTTCCTCTGGGTGCCCACAGGGCATCGTGAACACACAGCTCTCTGTGCTGGCCTCTGTCAGGTGTAGACTCTGCACCACCAGACCTGGGATCAAATGGGGTTGTGTGGCTGGACCTCTGGCAGGAGGTCTTTCTCCTGAGCTGGCCCAGCTGGCAGGGTCTCCTTCCCCTCTCCCTGCCGCAGGGCTAGGTCATTATTCCAGCTTAGAGAGGTTCAGCACCTCACCCAATGTAAATCTGGCTTCTTCAAGTCTGGGGGTGAGGTGGAAGGGATCACTGAGAAACAGGTCCTGGGGGGCAGGACCTGAATATCCACAAGCCACCAGAAACTACTGGGCAAGCAAAGGACACAAGCTTTGCCAGAGTTCCACCATCTGTGCCCCGTTCAGTCTACAAACACTCACTGAGTGTGTACTTGGATCTGGCCTGAGATGTAGAAATGACTTAGAAATGGCCTCGGCACTCAGGGAGCTTTGGGATGAATGACATCAATACCACAAATGCAACAAGAGATATGTTCAAGATGCTGAGGGTAACAGTGAGAGGAGGAACTGACTGTCAGAGAGCTAAAACCAGGCAAGGTTTCCGGGAGGGTGGATGCTTAGGCAGTGCTCTGGAGGATACGCAGGAATTGGCTAGGTCAAGGGAGAAAGGGCATCTGGATGGAGGGTACAGTGCAGGTAAAGGCAGGGAACAGCATGGAATATCTACAGTAGTACAGAGGGCTCCCAGTGATGGAGGCTGAGAGCGAGTGCAGGGCCCAGCTGCGTGGGAGTGTGGGAGTGTGGCTAGCAGGCGCACCCACACGGCAGTGCTGGATGTGCCATCGGGGTCGCTCGGAGGTCAGCACGGTGCTCAGCAGGGGTGCCAGGCGCTGGACACTTGCCACCAGGGCCATGGGTCTGCCAACCACCTGGGAGAAGCTCCATCTCAGCTTCCTCCCACTCTGCACCCTGCTGCCGCCCGCTTGACTGCTGTGGGTCATGCACTCTCAGAGATCTGTGAAGTGGCCTGCCTGTTCCCAACACCTGGTGGCTCCTTATGGCCTTTAGGACCAAGTCCCGGGTCCTCAGGCCAGTGTCTGAGGCCCAGCCCAATCAGCCTCCTCTGATGTCTGCAAGCTTAGCCCAGGCCAAGGCCTCATAGTGCTCCATGCCTGCTGGCCGGTCGTCTGCCAACCAGGCACACTCAGAAGGTGGGGCCGTGCCTCCCCCTTCTTTGGTCTGACTCAGTGCTAGGCCTACGGAAGGTGCTCACCCTTTAGATTCCAAAAGAGAAGCCATGTGGTGGTGGGGGAGGCCAGGGAGCAGGCAGGGAGGATGCGCGGTGATGGGGCCACTCCTCTGGACTGAGCAAGCCACCGCTGTGCCCATTCACTCCTCTCATGGCCTCAGCGGGGTGGGTCAGATCATCCCTGTTCTGTTCTGTTCTGTTCTCCAGGGGAGAAAATCAGGGGCTTCCGAGTCCCAGGTTTTCCGAGGCTACTTACAGACCCTCGGGCAAACATGGGTTCACACCCTTCCCGGGATGGGAGCTCACCATCCCAACAGGTGAACCATTCCATGAAACCAAGCTCCCGTGTTCTGTCATGTCCACCCTGTCACCAAGCCTACGGCCCGGTCTGTCCTCTGAGGCCACAGAGGCACCATCTCTGCTCCTTCTGCCCCAGAGACTTTCAGGTGATGTCTCTGACCCCTTGTTCTCTTCTTCCTCTAGGCCGATTACTCCCAAACCTACAGCCACTTCTGCCAGGGGACGTTTCCAACCCTCACCACCTGGATAGCATCTGTCGTGTTCTCCTGAGGGTCTGGGCTGTTTGGGAAGCAAGATGGCTGAACACTCAGCATAGAGGACCTCCCTCTTAAGGGGGTCAGCAGATTCTTGGATGTGGGGGAGGTCCTTATGGATTAGTGGCTCTAATTTTCAATGGCAGAAACTATTACTCAACAGTGGTTGTGTGTGGAAGTTCTACTTATATATAATAGATGAAAGAGGAGCTTCTTTTGATGGATGGAGATATAAAGCTCAGCAATGGGTGCTGACTCACCCATGGCTACACAACAAGCTGGAGGCAAGGATGAAACCAGAGTCCAGGCCCCCCTGCCTCTCCTAGCCCTGCCAGCCTCACCTCACTGACTGAGAGCCATGCATCAGCCAGCTGCTCCTCCAGGACCAAGCTGGCCACAGACACGATGCCCTGGCCTAGCTGCTCCCAAGGCCCTGTTAAGGGTTCTGGCTCCCCTGCCCCGAGGACTGTCACCCTCTTCAGGAAGTGTACGACAGCCAGCAGTGCAGCGGGGCCCAGTGGAGCTGCTTCCTTTGCCAGTACTCTCTCCAGGATACCCAGGAAGTTGCAGGCCTCGGCCAGCAACAGGTCTCCATAGACTTCAGAGAGAGGGTCAGGGAGGAGCTGTGGGCAGAGGAGCCATTTATTGCTGGTCTGGCTGTTGAGGGATCTCCCGGGGCCATACTTGGGTCTTACGAGGGTCTTCTTGGTGGGCACATGTCAAACTTATCACAAGCCCCCAGCTCTCAAGGGTTCCAAAATAAGGAATAGGAACAACTGTAATTTCTGAAGACACATTAGGTTGGTGTCTCCTTTATAGATGAGGAAACTGAGGTGTAGGGAGGTGACTCATAGTGTCCCCAGACTCTTCAGTCCCCGGGAAGGGGGGCTCACCCCAATGGTATTGGCCAAGGTATTGACTCGGCTGATAACATCCTGGCCAGGCCATGACTGGGAGTCCTGCAGCCGCTGATAAGTCTCTGCAAAGGAAGGGATGCCAGGCTGGATGACGAGCAACACTGCCCAGAGGTGCCCCATCCACCAGTTACTGCCCAAGGAGGAGGAGCATATTGACAGTTGTGTGTCTGGAACCTTACGCAGTTCTAGATGGGGAAACCGAACCATACAATGCCAAAATCACTTGCCTAAGGATACACAGCAGGGATTCACCTTCAGGTGTGTCTGGCCCCACTCTCTTGTGGTTTGGACTCCGTAGAGGCCCTGAGACTCCAAGAAGATTCTGAATTCCCAGTTTGTGCCAACTACTCACTCCCCCTCGGCCTACACTGGTCCACACCCAGCTTCCCCTTCAGCAGAGCCCTGGGCACTGCCAGGGCGCACCTGTCCGGTAGCAGCAGAGGAAGGGCTGGGGTTGAAGGCCGAGCCAAGAGCCTTCGGTACGGGATCCTGGGTTCCACATAGGGCACTCCTCTGAGGGCACTGGCAGGGATGGGACAGGTGTCAGGGCTGTATCCTGGCTCCCCAGCAGCCCCTGTGACCCACCCGCCTGCTGGGTCCTGAAGTACACCCTAGAGGCCAGGAAGCACAGCTTCGGAGTTAGGGGGTGACGTGGGAACCCGGGTGAAGGGCGCTGCAGCCAGCACCAGGCAGGGCAAGGCGGCTGGGGGACGAGCCTGCTCGGGCTCCTGGGACTGCGCCTTTGCCCTAGTGGCGGCGGCTTGGGGAGGGCGTGGGCAAGTTCTCAGGGGTGGGGTGGATCGGAGCCCAGAAGGGAGCCTACGGGAGCCGGGGGGCGGGGCGTCGACTCGAGAGGCGGGGCGGGGCGGGGCGAGGCGGGGCGGGGCGGGGCGCACCCGGACCGAGCAGGCGCACCGAAGGCGCTCGGCAGGGGCGGCAGCCTCGAGGCCGTGCGGTCCAGGGCGCCCGGGTCCCCGCGGAAGAGCAGGCCCGGGCCTGTTGCAGCTGCGCGGGGCTCAGCGCCCGAGCCCACAGGTGGAAGTCGGTGAGGTTCCCGCCGAAGGCATCGCGCGCCCAGAAGCCGCCCCCCAGCGAGTCCTGATCCTGGCCCCGCACGAGGACGCCGCCCGCCGCCGCCCGCCAGCCTACAGCGCCCAGCGCCCGCCGCGCTGCTCCCACGTGGCGCACGCGCGGTGCCAGCGGCCGTCGGCGCGGGAGGCGGCCAGGAAGGGCGCGTGGTGGCCGCGCAGCACCAGCCTCGGCGAGGGCGCGCAGCTGCAGCGCGTTGGGCAGTGCGGGCGCGGCGAGGGAGCGGAGCGCCGCGGCGTGGGGCGAGCCGGCGTCCCCCTGCGGGTGCGCGCACGCGGTCGGCGCCCCCAGCGCGGGCCGGGGCGTCCGCAGCCGCGCGGTCTGTCCGCCGTCCGCTCCCGGGACGCCAGCGCGGCCGTGGTGAGCGCGCCTGCGGGGACGCGCGGCCTGGGACTCGGCGCGCCCGGCCGCGCACAGCCGCTGACTACCCATTGGCGCAGCTACATGGCCCCTTCTGGGCTTTGGGGTGTCTCCCTCTCTCAGGAAGGAAGAAATGGGGGCTTCAGTGCCCACACCAGGTGGTCAACCCTCTATTTTAGTCCAGGACAAGGGAACCTGGAGATGCGACGGGGACTTCTGGGCTCAGTCCAAGAGGACTGTAACACTGTGGCCTCCCATCTTGAGGTCGCCAAAGCCTCTGCCCTCCAGCCCCCTCCCCACTTCCCAGGTCTTGGGCCCACACTCACGCCTTTTCGGGGGTCTCCGAAGAGGGGCCTCTTTCTGGCCCACCCAAATGGGGCTGGGCAGCCTTGGAGCAAGGACCCCAGCTGGGGGCGCCAGTGCCAGGTGGCCAAACCTCTGCTCACAGGACTCTTGAGCCTGCCACCAGCTCAGCTGCTGCCTTGGAAACTTGCACACCTCCTCTGCACTCTCCACCACCTCACCAGGGCCCACTGGAGCTGCAGGGTCAGTGGAGAGATAGTGTGGAAGAGCAGTGTGTGGGCACATGACCCTTGGGGTGGGGCAGCCATGGACACTGAGCTAGGAGTCATTCAGGGCTGAATGCTCTGTGACCTGGTGGGTCTAGTCCCTTTGCTGAGCCTGTTTTGTCACTGTATAATGGCAAGAATAAGAATAATGACACGAGCGAAACCTTCAGCCCAGGGATGGTGGGGCCAAGTGAAATGGCATCGCCTCCCTTCCTCTGCCTTAGAGGCCTGTGCACCAGGTGGACCACAGGCTGACCCAGCTAGGGGGAACGGGGGGGGGGGGTCGGCATCTCTAGGGCCCTCATAACAGCCTGTGACCCAAGAGCTAGTTGGAGGGGGTCCCAGAGAGACTCCTTATCTGAGAAAGAAGAAGACGGGTCAGGTCTGGGTGGGGTCAGTTATTGAATACCTACTGTGTGCTCTGACAGGATGCACTGGAAACTGCAAGCTCCGGAGTCATGCCTGGGTTCAAGTCTCACCCAGAGTGGAACCTGGGCAGGGCATTTCACTGCCTTGAGCCTGTCCAGTCCCCCCACCCAACTCCTGCCATGTGAGGAGTCCAGTGGATTGGCTGTTGGGCGAGGTGGTGTCCCACTGCACGTGCACACTTTTATTCTGTTGGATGAATAGATGCTTGTATTCATCCAGTGGATGTTTTTATTCTATTATTATTGTCAAAGGCTTATCTTGTGTGACCTCCGTAGTGATCTCAGAGGTGGGTGCTTGGAATCCAGCAGCCGTGAGTCCCTTTGGTTGCCTCCCCCCACCCTCCAGGTTCAGGTACCAGGAGGTAGAGGAGGAAGTAGCACCAGGAGGGCATTCTGGATCCAGTAGGGGCAGGTGAGGGACAGCAAGGGTCACACGTGTGGCCTATATGGACTAAAGAAGGAAAAAAGCAAAGGAAAGCAGCTCAGCGTCCTGCCTTACCACCACCCCCTCTGTCTCCTACGGGGTCATCTTCCCCCATGTTTGGATTCCAGAGCTTACTGGGCTGGGAGCCCAGGATGGGCTGGGCACATCTACTTGACATTTACTTGCACAAAAGGATGGTCTCCAGGAGCCCCTTCTAGGACTACAGCTGGGGAATGCTGTAGCCCTGGTGAGCTAGCCCCAGCTCGAGCTGGGGAGGGAAGAGAGCAGCAGCAGACAGGCCAGAGAGAGGTGGAAACGGGCAGGATCCCTGTTAGGCTTCCTTGTGTTCTTCAGGCTCTCAGCTTGGCATTCAAGGCTCTGTTTCATGAGGTCTCTGCTGAGCTCTCTGGCCTTACTCATCTCACTATCCCACCCCCCCCCCCACCCCCGGTCCAACCACCTTTTGCCTGCTGCCCTAAGCTGCTCCCATTCCTCCAGGCAGCATCTCTTTTTTTTTTTTTTTTTTTATTTATGATAGTCACACAGAGAGAGAGAGAGAGGCAGAGACACAGGCAGAGGGAGAAGCAGGCTCCATGCACCGGGAGCCCGATGTGGGATTCGATCCCGGGTCTCCCGGATCGCGCCCTGGGCCAAAGGCAGGCGCTAAACCGCTGTGCCACCCAGGGATCCAGCATCTCTTTTCCAGACCTTTGACCTCGCTGTCGCTCTTGACCTGGACTGGCCTCCCATCCCCACAGCGGCACCTCCTGCAGGATCAGCTTGCTATCACGGCATCCACCCAGCACTTACCGCAGGCCTGCCATAGCCACGCACTGTAGTGAGCTGAGGACACCCTAATCATGGGTGGTTTGGGGGTCACTCTTAGCAGTCTAGGGGGCTTCAGGCCTCCTGGGTCTCTATTCCAGCAATGGCCAAGCACACATGGGTCCCAGACAACATTGGAAAACAAAAAATGCTCCACTGTCCCACCACCTGGCCTCACACCATCTGGAAGTCTGGAGCCATCACCAGGGATGATTCATATCCTTTCCCCCTTTCCAGATAAAGTGCCTAAGTGTGAAAATTGAATACAACCCAACACAGGAACACATGGGGGTTCACACTTGGGATTCTGAGAAGCACCAATTTATTGTCACTTTCCCCCCTTTTTATTTATTTATTTAAATTTAGTAGGCTCCACGCCCAATGTGGAGCTTGAACCCACCACCCCGAGATTAAGAGTTGCATGCTCTACCGAGGGAGGCAGCCAGATTCCCCACTTTCCCTCTTTTTAAACAGCACCTGTGCCCACCCTGCACCCCCACCTTCAGAGGGTGGGGAATGGGAGGAGTCTGGTCCAAGACTGAGGTTTGGTCTCTAGCAGGTGCTGGGCACTTAGTATGAGCTCAACAAATGCTGACCGCCCCACTCCCCGGCTCACGTTTGCCTGTATTTGCCCCCCACAAACTCCTTGCCCCACCTTCCTTGCTCGCCAAACACTCGGTGGCACCCAAAAGGATTTGCGACGTCCGCCTTCGCTGCTTGTCCCTCCTCCACAAGGGGTCAGCGAGGAATCCCTCCCAGGCTGCTGGGGCAGGACAGGGGCTCCCCCTCACCCGCGCTGAGGCCTCCCCCATTCAAAGCCGCGGTCCTCACCTGCTCCGTCCAGCCTGGTGCCCACGGCCTGGTCACCCTCCGCGAAGTGTTCCGGGGACTAAGCCCCGCGGCCGCTGGTGCGCCAGCTCTCGGGGTGCGGGGCGGTGCCGGGGGCGGTACCAGGAGGCCCCGCCCCTTAGAGTCCGGGACCGCCGCTCTCCTGCGCGCGGGACCGGCAGGCACCGCCCCAGCCCGCAGCCGCGGAAGCGCACCTGGGGGTGCACCTGCCGGGGCTTCCTCAGTTCCTGGACGGGACCTGCTACGCTCCTTCCCACAACACACAGGTCAGGTCACTCGATTAGAAGGGGCCACCTGGTGAGGCTTGGATCCCAAATAAACCTGTGGAAGCCCAAGCATCCTTGGCTTTCCCAACCCCATCTCAGGCTGGACGATGAGAAAAGAGGGAGCGTTCGGCACCCCGAGCTGGCCCCCTTCAGGCCTCCTCTGCTTTGCCTTTAACGCACCGTGAGGAGGGGCCGTGGTTGTACCCATTTTCCAGATAAGGACTGAGGGCTCTCCCCCAAGTTAGACAGCTGGTGGTGAGTGGCAGAACCCGGCCTCGAACCTCGAACCCAGCCTCTTTGCATCTTCATCCAGGCCCTTTAGAAGGTAAAGGTGAGGTGAGCCGGAGAATCCCTGTGCGTGTGAAGTGGGAGAATTGAAACTTTTTGGCCTCTGAGGGCTGAGCTGGGGTCAGGCTGGGGTGGTGGTGGTGTCAGGAGCCGAGGAAGGCGAAGGGGAAGGGGAGGAAGGGGAAGGGGAGGGACACGGAGGTGGAGCTCCCAGTACAAGTGGCACATTCGTACATATGTGCTAACTGAGCCCAGAGAGAATACAGGGTTCCACATAGCAAGGAAGAAGTGCACCCCAGGTCTGCCTCCTAAGCCCACCCTCTTTCTGTGGGTGGGGTGGGTTTTGTATCTAATCCCAGTTCTCCTGGCCTCCTTTGTATGTCTTCTGGCTCTCCTCGCCTTCTGTCCCATCCCTAATCTCTCCCGTGTTCCCTGAGTTACAACCTTCCCAGCCTTGATAACTCCCCTCCCTGCCTGGAGGCTCTGGGCCAACTCCCTTCCTTCAGTGGGGTCACATTTCCTAGGAGTCACTCCTGGAGACGGCTAAGTACCAGGGGGTGGGGGTGGGCCTCCCTGGACTCTGAGCTGTTGAGACCAGTTTGGGCCAGGTTCTAGCCTAATCTCTCCTCCCCAGAGTTTGGGTATTGTTCAACTGGCAGCCTAGGGCCATTCATCTTGCCTGTGGCGGGTGGCTCTGACAGGCCTCTTGACTCCTTAGGCAGGGCCTGGAGGCTGTGAGTGAATGATAGTCATTGGGATCCCTGGGCTCATCATCTGTGTAGATGGGATGGAGAGCAATAGGGGTGGCTGGGGATGCTCATCCCTGGCCCCTCAGCTGGGTTGGCCATAGTCCAAGCACAGGGATTTTGGAAGGAGGAGCTGGCAACTGGGATCTTTCCCCTTCGAAGTTGCCATGAACCCAACAGAATTGGAACTTGGCCATCAACCAACTTGTATGTGACCTGGGCAAGTCTCTCTGTACCCTGTGTCTTCTACACAGAATGTGGAGAATCACCCTTTTTCTCAGGGACATAAAGGCTGGCTATTAGGAGAGGAGTGTATCAGGATTGGGGGAACCTCATAACTTGGCCCAATTGTCATTTTTCTCTGGGGCCACTGGCTCCTGCTCTGTAGATAAAAGAGAGTCCCTTCCTTTATGCTTTACTCTTACCCCAGCATACCCTGAGTGCTGAGAAACTGGATGTGCCCAGAACCAGCCCTGCATCCCCACTTGCCCACTCCAGCCCCTTCTCCACTTAGTAGTCAGAGTGAACTCTGTACAGTTTCTATCTGCTCCTGTCCCTCCCCTGTTCAAAACTTTTCTATAGCTCCCTGGTGCTCCAGAAGAAAGTCCAACCTCCACATGTGACTATCACAATCCATCTCTGCCCCCTGTACTCCTTCACTGTGCCTCTTCCCCATCACACTCCATAGCCCAGCCGGTAGCCAGAATGAACATCTGGTTCACACCCCCCGGGCCTTTACGCATGCTATTCCCTTTGCCTAGGAATAGGCAGGAGCCCTGTCTGCTAAGTCCTTTGTGGCTCATTTCTACTTATCCTTCAGGTCCCAGGTTAAATCTTTTAGGATGTCTTCCCTGCCCCTGACATTAAACTGTTTCAGGAACCCCAGACCTCTGTAAATGCTGGGGAACAGTCTGCCTGTCCACTCCTCCTTCCCATCCCCACCCCACCCCCACCCACACACACTAGGGCCAGGGCCCGATGGAGTGAGTAATTGTGTTTATTGAAGGACTGATCCAATGGATCTAGACACACCCAGACTGACACCTTGTAACTCTAACGTTGGGTGTGTGTGTGTGTGTGCTTGGGGGCCTGATATGGGAGGGGACAGAGAATTCTGCTTAGTGGGCCCCCATACTTGACCCCCACATCATGGCCACAGGAGGGTGAAACAACTACTTGCTAACCTCTTTCCAGCTTCTCCTATTCCTCTCCCCACCTGTCCCCACCTGTCACAGAGGCAGCTCCAGAAGCCAGAAGCTAGAGGCAGCTGACAGAATGGCCTCCCCATTCCAGGCCCCCCTCTATCACTACCAAGCATAGGCATCCAAGTGACCATGTCCCTGTTCTTGACCTTGGCTCCCCTTTTGGGTAAAGTTGGGCTTCTTACCCCACTTAAGAGAGAATGGTCGTGCATATCTGGGACATGCCTGGCTGGGAGCAGGTGAGTAGGTGCTCAGTAAATACTTATTTGTATTAGGGGAAACCAAGAACCAGAGAGGGCAAGGGACCTGTGGTCACACAGCAAATCTATAGCATAGCTAAGCCTCCACTTTTATTCACACAGCCCACCCCCCATCTCTTTCTCCAAGCTTAAAAATATTTTTACCTCTATGTGACATGACAGTGAGTGCTAGCGTGTGCAGGGTTTCTTTTAGGGGGAGATGGAGTATTCTAAAATTATGGTGATGGTTGCACAATTGTGTGAGTGTTCTGAAAACAATTAAGTCGTATATTTTAAATGAGTGAATGGTATGGAGTGTGAGTTACACCCCAATAAACTGTTATTTTAAAAAGCACTCTAGTGTGCAAGAAAAAGTGCCAGACAGAACTGCCTCTTAGTAGCTCTTAGTAGCTGCATATATTTCTCCAGCCCAGTCCCCTTCCTCTGTGACTTGGATCCTATTCCCCACTCTGCCTTCCTCCCAGCAATTTGTAGGATCAAATGAAAAAGTTGAGTTGTGGGGATCCCTTGGTGGCACAGCGGTTTGGCGCCTGCCTTTGGCCCAGGGCGCGATCCTGGAGACCGGGGATCGAATCCCACGTCGGGCTCCCGGTGCATGGAGCCTGCTTCTCCCTCTGCCTGTGTCTCTGCGCCTCTCTCTCTCTCTCTCCCTCTGTGACTATCATAAATAAATAAAAAT